GCAATTATAGGAAACGCTTTATACACTATGCATTATAAATAATTGAAGCAATTAGAAAAAAAAACTAAAGTACAGAATAATTAAGTATAAAAATTATGCAAATTTCTTCAAATGCCTGCATACCTTTAGTTGTTTTTTTTTATCCCTAAATATATTTGTTGATCAATTATCAAAATGCATAGTAGGTGTTTTTATTTACACTTCCTGAAAATATATTTGAGATTTTATAATTTTCCCTATATAATATGATTGACTATAATGCTGAAGTTTGAAGAATTACCTTGAGTAAGTACACGTTACTTTAAGAATTCAGAGTCATTTTTGTGAGCATTTTCAAAGCCGATTTTACGAACTGAGGATCGGACTACCTTAAAATGTTCTCTTTATGTTCGCAGTGAAAGTAATTTTCAGTTCAATACAATACAGGTATTGGAGGTGTAATTTTCAGTTCAATACAATACAGATATTGAAGGTGTAAGTCTCACAAAGTAATGCATTTAATGCTTAGTTCATCATTGATATCTAGTTATAATGCTTCTGAATGAAGATACTAAAATCATCAAATGCATAGGGAGACTTGAAACAATCAACGCTCATTAATATTTCAGACATACAAATCTATGTAATGCAGTTGCATTCATACGGAGGCGACAAATGTCTCATTGACACTTACATGTATCTAAATTTTATAAAAGGAAAATATTTGTAAAAAAAAATAATTCCACGTATGTTTCTCGTAACCACGGCGAGGATAAAGAACGGTGATCACTTGAAATTCCTTCCAATACCTCTAAATTAATATTGTATATATGTTAATCCTTTGTTCATTTGTTACCTTTTCATTGTTGATCTATTTCTTTTTGTACTTTTATGCCTCATGTGAGGCCATAAAGTGAATAAAAATGTTTCAAATGTTTTCAAATGTTTCAAATGATCAAACTCAAATCCTAAACAGGGAAAAAACGGACCCCAGGAAATATCAGAGGTGGGATCAGGTGCCTAAAAGGATTAAGCTACCTCTATCGAATGTCATACCCGCCATGAGCCCTCTGTGTCGGTCAGCTAAACATTCGTAGTCAAAATGGTATAAAAACAATGACCTTAACCTATTTTCATTCATATGTCAGTTTGATGTTTTTATCCCAGTAAACTCGAAATAAAAGACACCACAGAGTCTGTCACATCTGCTTCATAATTAGATAGACGTTAATGGCCAACTAACAATCAAACTATATGACAAACGGGATTAATTCAATTTTCCATTTTTTTTCTTAGCAATCTTTGACCTTTTAATACGAGAATTGAAAAAGAGATTATTTATTTATCATAATCAATCCCTGTATTAAGATTGATGACTAATCAAGCGCAAAGATCTCTAAGACATGGGTCGATCGATGTATTATGGTGGCTTAAGATAAACAAGTGATTGACGTTTAGACCTAAACATTTATTGGGCTTTTCTTTTAATCATAATCAACTAGGGTGTAAAATTTGATGACTATTAGACAAGAATTTCTCAAGCTATTAATTGGACAAGATGTAATATGAGTAAAGGTTTGTGACCTTACGTTCCATATTGACCTTAAAGTCAAAGGGGGTCATTTGCTTATCATGTCCAGATTTACGATTTAGAAAAAAAAATACCCCGGTACCTTTGAGCTCTCGGCCTAAAAATCATTAAATTCATCTTCTTACTATGACCAACCTTTGCTTAAAGTTTGAGGACTATCAGTCAATGATTCTCCATATATTGGCCAGAAAATATTCGTCTACCGATCGACAGATGCAACGCAATACATTGTATTTACCACTTCCTCGAAGAAAATGGATAAAAGAGAAAAAAAAGAGTAAATTGAAAAATACCTTTCCAAATCAGTATGGTAGCAAAAATTATTAAACTCGAGTTTAAAATAGCAAACCGTCAATGCTAACGAGATTGTTGAAATTAGATAATTAACAAACCAAAGTATTAATTCATAAATCGATAAGTTTATCACTGAGAAAAAAAAAGTGCATTAATAAAAAAGCAATTAAAGTATAGATGAAATTAAGGCGTATTGTACTGGTAGTTGTAGGAAAAGTGAACAGTTAAATCGATGTTTTGCAGATCTAGATGTAAGATCCCAATTAAATGTCCAATATAACGGAATTCTCAATTTTCTACAGAATATGGAAATTAAATGTCATAGTTTATAATCTTTTTTCAGAATATCATTTAATACTGACATTATAAAGAATTTCTTTATTTATTTGGTGGTCCTACTATCTGATGTGAATTGCTATGTTACTGTTGTGAACGATGGTTTTCAATATGCCAATTCAGTAAAATTGTATCAAATAAAAATTATACTCATGTCTCGTAAATCCGTTCAAATTGCATTCTCTAGCCTAGCAATATACTACATTCCTTATGCAAAATTGCCCATTCTGTTAGGAAATACTAGTATCTATTCTGTTTAAGGATGGGCAGTTTTTGTAACTAATTGGACATTTTCAAGTAACTATTGGATTGTTTATAAATTCGAAACAACACTGATTATGCTAAATTATGTTCTATAGACACAAAAGGTCACGTCGTCACAATCATGTTTTAAATATAACGAATTTTTTATGGACTCTCTTGGATTTGTTTTACGCATAGCATGCAAATCGTTAAATCAAAAATATTTCTTCTCATAGAAAGGTTTAGATAACAATTTTAATTTAGAACATTTCATCGATGGATTTGTCAACCAACTGAAATAAATATAAAAATTAAAAATTATAGCTTCATTTTTTGAATTTAATTCATCGTTTGTTGAAAAAAATCAGATGAGACGTGTGTGATCTCATACATTTAACATTGTGAAAATGATCAAAATTGGATCAAAATAATAAAAAATAACACTTGTGCAAAATACTGTCAAAAGAATAAAAATATTTGAAAAAAATCTTTATTTTTCAAAAATTGTTCAAAGTTTATAAATGTATAAATAATTTCAATCACAGTATCGTATCAATATTGTTAGGAAGCAAATCGTTGAAAATGAAAAGATACAAGTAGACTGTTTGGACACAAGATTTCATGAAAGGGTTTGCATTCCACACTCCAAGTAACTCCAGAAATGCAACAATCGATTGACTGTTTAATGAGAAGGACACCAAGAACTGTTTCCATTTTCACAGTTTATACTGTCACGGTTCCTTTTGATCCGAGATGTTAGCATGTCTTTTCCCAAATACACTTATTTTGTTCTGAAAAGTAGAAAAAAGAACCAATATTCAATCCAGATACTGTCTTCCCATATTCAAACTTTACAACATCAACATGTAAGTTACCATTATTCTCAGACTTTCTTCACTATTCTCAGACTTTCTACATAAGTTACCATTATTCTCAGACCTTCTACATAAATTACCATTATTCTCAGACTTTCTTCATTATTCTCAGACCTTCTACATAAGTTACCATTATTCTCAGACTTTCTTCATTATTCTCAGACTTTCTACATAAGTTACCATTATTCTCAGACCTTCTACATAAATTACCATTATTCTCAGACCTTCTACATAAGTTACCATTATTCTCAGACTTTCTTCATTATTCTCAGACTTTCTACATATGTTACCATTATTCTCAGACCTTCTACATAAATTACCATTATTCTCAGACTTTCTACATAAGTAACCATTATTCTCAGACTTTCTTCATTATTCTCAGACTTTCTACATAAGTTACCATTATTCTCAGACCTTCTACATAAATTACCATTATTCTCAGACCTTCTACATAAGTTACCATTATTCTCAGACTTTCTTCATTATTCTCAGACCTTCTACATAAATTACCATTATTCTCAGACTTTCTACATAAGTTACCATTATTCTCAGAATTTCTTCATTATTCTCAGACTTTCTACATAAGTTACCATTATTCTCAGACCTTCTACATAAGTTACCATTATTCTCAGACTTTCTTCATTATTCTCAGACCTTCTACATAAGTTACCATTATTCTCAGACTTTCTACATAAGTTACCATTATTCTCAGACTTTCTACATAAGTTACCATTATTCTCAGACTTTCTACATAAGTTACCATTATTCTCAGACTTTCTACATAAGATACCATTATTCTCAGACTTTCTTCATTATTCTCAGACTTTCTACATAAGTTACCATTATTCTCAGACCTTCTACATAAATTACCATTATTCTCAGACTTTCTACATAAGTAACCATTATTATCAGACTTTCTTCATTATTCTCAGACTTTCTACATAAGTTACCATAATTCTCAGACTTTCTACATAAGTTACCATTATTCTCAGACCTTCTACATAAGATACCATTATTCTCAGACCTTCTACATAAGTTACCATTATTCTCAGACCTTCTACATAAGTTACCATTATTCTCAGACCTTCTACATAAGTTACCATTATTCTCAGACTTTCTGCATAAGTTACCATTATTCTCAGACTTTCTACATAAGTTACCATTATTCTCAGACCTTCTACATAAGTTACCATTATTCTCAGACTTTCTACATAAGTTACCATTATTCTCAGACTTTCTATACAAGTTACCATTATTCTCAGACTTTCTTCATTATTCTCAGACTTTCTACATCAAGTTACCATTATTCTCAGACTTTCTTCATAAGTTACCATTATTCTCAGACTTTCTTCATTATTCTCAGACTTTCTATACAAGTTACCATTATTCTCAGACTTTCTTCATTATTCTCAGACTTTCTACATCAAGTTACCATTATTCTCAGACTTTCTTCATAAGTTACCATTATTCTCAGACTTTCTTCATAAGTTACCATTATTCTCAGACTTTCTTCATTATTCTCAGACTTTCTACATATGTTACCATTATTCTCAGACCTTCTACATAAACTACCATTATTATCAGACTTTCTTCATTATTCTCAGACTTTCTATACAAGTTACCATTATTCTCAGACTTTTTACATAAGTTACCATTATTCTCAGACTTTCTTCATAAGTTACCATGATTCTCAGACTTTCTTCCCCCGTCCGTTGATGATTATCCTAATTCTCTTGGAGACCTCAATGATCACAGAGAGACTGACACACGCCATCAGGACAATGAATACCCCCAGCATGTTGTCAAGGTCCAGCTCCGCTGTCGGCTTCTTCATGTCTTCTGGCCGGACGTAGTCCGCGCACTCTCTTGTCTGCGGAATGGCCCACCATCTACAAGAAAAGAACAAATCTGTGTTACAAATTTAACAGATTTACTTTCAGAGTAGGAGTAAGTGATTCCGATCTTAGTCCAAAACAGCTTCTACTGGTATTGGCATGTCGCTGACAGGTGAAATTTTTTAGTCAGAAATAATGATAATTATGAATTCAGATAAATAATACATTGTGAAGTAATCCAGTAATTTTACAGATGATAGTTTTTAATATAAAATCTCGGCATTATTTATTTCATTACTTGTTGATTAGAGCATCAAGACGTCCCTTTTCTTTCAGAATCAAAATGGCTCTGTTGATATCGTCTTTGTACGGAGCGCCGTCTGGAAACCCCATGCTGAACTTGGTTTCCTTGAAGTTCTGATCGTACGATTCCATGTCACATCTCTGTAAAGCCGTGTACTCGTTTATTTTGGCCAAATCAAGGAATACGAAATCACTTCCGTTAACGTCATTTTTAACCATTCTAACACCAGTCTCTCTATCCGGAACTAGTCGGATTTCTTCCTCCAGTTTGATAGTGGCCCACATTCGTTCGTACGGATCCATGGAGGAATCTTTGAAGAAGTACATGAGGTCGCTGTTTTTCTGCAGACCGTACTTAACTGTCATCTGTTTAGAGAGTTTGTCCACGGTCTTTATGCGCGTGTCTTGTTGTTGTAGCGTCAAGTACGCTGCCAGGTTAGCGGTGTAGGCAGCAGTGATCACAAGCGTACAAAACCAGAAAAATGCCACCATGGTCCTCATCGATGTCGTCTGTGGCGAATACTCGGTACCCCCTTTTTCATAACAAAAGTAAAAAAAGGCGTAACAATTTGTACCTTATTCTTAAATGAATTCGGCGAATTGCTGTTATGCACGTCATGAATGATAGCAAAGTAGGAAATTACCTCCAAGGAAAAGATTGACGGAGTACCAAATGCTTTCTTTCAAATTAAATTGTTGCTCTGAACCATTTTGAGTGACGTCGTATCTGCTCATGGCCCATAATGCTCCACCTGCGACTACATAGAACGCAATAATAACCACCCAAAGCTGCCAGCTAAATGGCCACAGGAACTGAAAGAGGACGGGTGAGTTGACTGGTCGTTTTGAGAGCATGCTGATGGTCGACGAGATGATTGTATAGGAGAAAGATATTTGTTCTTCTCTGCTGGACTTTACCGCCAAGGAACCAATTGCCATAGATGCATTCTGTGCATGAAGAAATATAAAAGCATCTTCATTTGAACTTTAAAATTGTTTAACAGTAACAAGTTAAAAGCGGATCACAAATATGTTCATCTAGAATAAATGAGAATAGAGGTTTTTTGATTAACGAAGCTAAATCCAATCTATATTACCAGGCAAAGAGTTGTTTTCGAGGAGTGCTCGTAACTCGCGACTTTCAGAGAAAATTTTTAGGGAACTACATATATTTTTAGTTTTTTAATAGTAAATATGTAGTACTTTCGGAATATTTTTTAAAAGATAAAGAGATTCCAGTATGAAAGGGTGCCTTTACCCCTACAATAAGTTGTTTTATAAGGGTGTCCCAGTCGGCGTTTACATCGCTCTTGTTGTTTGTAAAGCTGTCCAGTTCCTTTATTTCGAAATTGAAGTTCATCTTATCCGCAATCTCTTTCAGAACGTCAACAGAAAAACCCTCGTATTGACCACTCACTGTTTTCAGCACAAATGGAGGTTCCTTCCAAACATTATGAAATAAAGATTATTGATGCATATAAACCCGAATAACTATGAAAAATAGAGAAATACCTTTCAAAAAGGGATAGGATCCTCTTTACTACAAAGACAGAATGATTCATGATTTTATTCCAATAGAAGACAACGACGTCTCTATGACGTAAAAAATGCTTCCAAAGAAATAGTGTCTATTACTGTTTATTTTTAAAGAACGTATTTTTTTTATTTAAACAAGCATTCTGAGAGTATTGCATTAGCAATATTAGTCCCCTACTGGCAAGTGTAATCTGGTTCCCGTTAAAATTGAAAATGCCATAATTCCGTCAAAAAATCAAAAACGAAATGCGAAGTTGACCATCAAGGTAAAGTCGCATGCAAAAAATCAGCCCAATATCTGCAAGCGTTTAGAAAAAAAATTGCGTAAAACCCTGAAAAATTGAAAAGGCGATAATTCCATCAAAAATAATTGAAGCGGAACGAAATGCATCTTTAACTCATCAAGATACACTCACATACCAAAATTCAGCCGAATATCTGCAAGCGTTAAGAAAAAAAAGTGCGGAAAACCAAGTGGGACAGACTGACAGACAGCTAGTGGGACAGCTAGACGGACTCACAGACGGACGGACAGACAAACTCAGAGGGAACATATAGTCCCCTCCGGTTTCACCGGTAGGGAACTAATAAGATTGACTTATCCACCTACAACACGCGTGATGACTGTGAACATTTGGCCCGCCAACACCTTATCCAAGCTTTTGTCGGGGGCTGGCATCAGTTTAGTGTCCAATATCGTTACGTTCTTCCCGATAAAGGAACAGTTGCCTATCTACAAATAGATTAGTAAACTACAGACACCCAATATACAATTCAACTAAAGGACTACATGTATAACTCACTTTAATAATGATAAAAAACTTTAAATATCGCCAATCTTTTTAAGAGATAAAATAATGTCATTTTTGTATAAAATGAGATGACAAACCTTCGTAGTTGTTCCGTTATATCCCATAATTCCAAAGGAATACTGTGTCCTCATTTTGCCTGTGTTGTCGCTAGTATTGGTCCACACATACTGGCCCAGGGCACCAATGTAAGGTGTGCTCTATAAAAGTGACGTATTAAACAAAACAAACGGAAAATACAAAATGAAGACTAATATAGGGACATCAATATTTGAGCTTATTTATCATGCTTTTTGTGGCTTTAAAATCCTTTATAGAGTTAAAGAAAAGGTTCTTTTTTATGCCCCCGTAATCGAAGATTCGGGGGCATATAGTTTTTGCCCTGTCTGTCTGTCCGCAAAAACTTTAACCTTGCCCATAACTTTTGATTGATTGGAGCTATAGCTTTCATATTTCACATGTGTATTCCTTGTGACAAGACCTTTCCTTGGGTACCATAAAATTTGACCTTTTGAACTTGGAGTTTGACCCACTTTTGCAATATTTTTTCAGACTTTAACCTTGGCCATACCTTTTGAAGAGTTGGTGCTAGGGCTTTCAAACTTCACGTATGTAAACCTTGTGGCAAGTCCTTCCTTTAGATACCAACAACTTTGACCCTTTGACCTTGACCTTGGAGTTTGACCTACTTTTGAAAAAACGTTAACCTTGGCCATAACTTTTGAACGGTTAGTGCTAGGGCTTTCATCCTTCACATATGTAATCCTTGTGACAGGACCTTCCTTTGGATACCAACAACTTTGACCTTTTCACCTTGGAGTTTGACCTACTTTTCAAAGACTTTAACTTTGGCCATAACTTTTGAACGGTTGGTGCCAGGGCTTTCATATTTCACATGTGTATTTCTTATTAGAAGACCTTTCCTTGGGCACCATTAATTTTGACCATTTGAACTTGACCTTGATGTTTGACTTAGTTTTGAAAAACTTTAACCTTTTCCATATCTATTCAATGGTTGCTGCTAGGGTTTTCATATTTCAAAGGTATATTACCCGAGACAAGAACATACTTTGGATATCAACATATTTGATTTGCATTTGAGAAAGTTTAACCTTTAATATGAGTTGCCATACGGGGGCATCAGTGTTTCACAAACACATCTTGTTTTTTATATTCGAGTCTATGTTAACCATATGAAAAGACACAATCACTCTTTACCTGACAATTTCTATGCTTGTAAAGGAATCATACAGGATGAAAATAGAAAGTTAACTAAGATATACAGTAAGTACTGTGTTATTCAATTTAAAGTAGCGAGTTTAATCGCAACAATGTAAAAAGTAAAAAAAAAAATGCACAATACCTTCACAAGATCATTTTGTCAAATATCTCAAACAGTCTATTGCCAAGTATTGGTACTTGTACAAGTAATAGTATAATCAGCAGTCACCATGATTGCAAATACAGACTTTAATTGTTTTCCAAATTTTTAAATATATACGCCAAGACTTACTTTTCCACTGGAGAGCTCGTTTACAAACTCCATAACTTCCCCAGCTTTCATACTGACGTCTTGTTGGGGTTCTTCTGAACAGTCATACTTGTTTTGGAGGAAGTGACGTAACAGAGCCACAGAGTCACTCAAAACAGCATCTCCCAAGGCATCTGAAAGTCAGCAGTTTTACTATCTCTCAAAAGAGTTCGTAGTGCAATTTAATCGATTGTTTGGACTTTCAATTGTCGGAAGTATAAATATTAATACCAAACTGTGAAATAAAACCAAATGCTGCATGCTGTACGTTTATAAAACTCAGAGCAAGTGTTTCCATTGGAAAAGTCATTTAAATTCCGATGAGTTAGGACTCACTTCATTTATGTTTTTGCGAAAACACCCTGAAATCCAAACTACTAACTTCATTTTACAAGCATGGTGCATGTATATCTTGCAAGAGAGAAACTTGGTAAGAAATGTTTCCTCAAGTAATACAATATTGGGCACTCCGGTAAAAAACGTATTTCATTCTCAATGGATTTACAATTACAAAGTTTACATAACCTTTCTTATCTACTAAAACTCAAATGTCTACTTTTTCATTAAGAAGATTATGGGGAGAACACCTGAAATGAAGGAATAGTTCTAAAGGGTAACCAAACATTATAAATGATTCTCATAAAAAATTGTTTAAAAAACCATAAAACGGATATATAAACATTTAGGTGAGTCAGTAATCTGCTCACAGTTTTGGTGAGCAGTCTCTCGATCTTTTTTTTTAAATACCAAAGAGAAACATCAACATTGCCCGGGCCATTCTATTACATATCGCCTTTCGGCTCTACGAGCTAGGGTATCATGTAGCATTATCTCTGAGTGCAGCGAGGCATATCTCAATTCAAAGAAGCTAAAAAATGACCTGTGTGACGTAAACACACCTGTGGTCAATAGTATATAAAGCACAGCTCCACGTGCCGAAGTCATTCTTTTTCTCTGAGCGGCGTGCGAGTTTACCTGTACAGCAGGTAAACATTATCAATAGAGGTGTTTTGTTAACTTAGAACGTTGTTCAAGTTATTTAAGGGGTTTTTACTGCTGTAAAACAGCTCTTATTAAAATATTAAACTGTTTGAAGGTAAGTTACGAAGTCTTTGTATTTTGCCGTAATGACGGCTGAAAACCAGGACGATGTCCTATCTTTCATGGGAAGTGACCATGACAACTACTCAGATATAGAGGAATTGTTTGGGGATAAACCTCGTACACGAAGTGTAACAGATGACACTAATACAACAAATAAAAGAACTAGAGGAATGAAGCGTAAAGCACAGACCTCGACATGTTCTGCAAGTGCAAGTGCACCGCCGCCACGGGCGACGAAACAAAGTAAAAAATCTAAAAATCAGTCCGAGTCTGTTCAAGAATTTAATGTTGACGAACTTAAAAGTCAATTGGGCATAGACAAAATCTTGCAATCCCTTTCTTCGCTGACAGATACTGTAAAACAGTTGGGTCTTTCTAATTCTACGGCGCGTAATACGTGCAATGAAAATATTGGCATGCGGTCCACCGAATCTACGGTGCACACTTCGGGTAATAATTCTCCCGGTAATTTTACACAATCTATGCCTAACAGACCGCTGAGAAACTTGGTTAACATACCTGATTATGATTCTCGTCAAACTTTTGATGAAACCCCTGATGACTTTGACTTTGATTTTTCTTATTTGAATGGTCAAGTTTCTCCTTCTATTGAAGGTGTTGATACTCAAGAAACATTTAAGGGGATCTTAAATGATGAATCAATTCAGATTACAATTGATAACAGTACTAGCAGTAATGACTGGGATATCCCACAGTTAAATGCAAATGAGAAAACTGGTCCAAACGTAAATGAAGCACTGGGAAAAGCTGTAAATGCAGCGATCTCTATTAAAACTAGCAAAGAAAGTATGGTAGAATTGGAGAAAAAATATGACAGACCAGATAGTTGTAATCTATTGAAAGTACCCCGAGTCAATAAGGAAATTTGGGATGCAATGAATAAGCAAGCCCATTCAGAGGATCTCACTTTACAAGTGATTCAAAAATCTTTAGCCACGGGTATAATACCTTTAGTACAGATGGCTGATATGTTTGTCAATAAAAAAGAACTTGACCCCCAAACTTGTAAAAAGATGTTGGCAGATTCTATAAGTATGCTTGGCAATGCTTTTTACAACCTCTCAATGAAAAGAAGAAATGAAATTAAAAATGTTTTAAATTTTCGATATCGAAAAATTGCTTTCTCTGAGATTCCAGTAACAGATTTTTTGTTTGGAGACAATTGTGTCTCTAAACTTAAAGAAATGGGAGACATTACCAAGCAACCAATTGGAATGAAATCAAGTTATGATACAAAATTCAAAAATGTTAATCAAACAAAAAACTACATGTCAACCCAGGGGTATCAACCTCTCACAAACCAGTACAGAGGCAGAAACCGCCAGTACATGTATGCATATCCTTCCCAGAGAGGCAGAGGTCAAAGGGGTCAGTACAAAGGCATAATGAAGAAAACATACAGTTACAGCAAGTAAAGGTGAGAAAGCTTAATAAACCTTACTGGCAAAAATTTACCAAAGATAAATGGATTTTAAACATAATTGATCCAGGATATGAAATTGAATTTTTTCAGCAACCTTTTCAAAAAATCATTCCAAAGCAAATTCAGTTTAATGCAGTAGAATCTGAATTGGTATCACAAGAAGTAAAACAATTGATTGATAAAGGTGCAATTGAAGAAGTAGAAGATATTTCGGATGCTTTTATTTCAAATATTTTTCTTGTACCGAAAAAAGATGGTAATCTAAGGCCAATCATAAATCTAAAACAATTAAATGAATTTGTTGAATATTATCATTTCAAACAAGAAAATTTAACATTTGCTTTAGAACTGATTCAGAGAAATGATTATCTTACTTCGGTTGATTTAAAGGATGCTTATTTTAGTGTCAGTGTTCACCCAGATTACAAGAAATTTCTAACTTTTTCTTGGAATGGAAAATTTTTCAGATTTGTAGTTTTACCTTTTGGACTAACTTCATGTCCAAGAATATTTACAAAGATATTGAAACCTGTTTATGCATTCTTTAGGGAAAATGGCATAAGATGTTGTTATTATATTGATGATTCCCTAATCATGAATCAAGATTTTTCTATATGTCAAGAACAAACAGATAGAGTTATGTTGGAATTAAACAATCTTGGTTTTACAATAAATGATAAAAAATCTGTAACTACCCCTTCGCAAAGAATTGTTTTCTTTGGAGTTATTATAGATTCAGTTGAATTTAAAGTCTATTTGACAGATGAAAAAATAGAGAAGATTTTAAATCAAAGCCAAATTATTCTGTCCAATCCAAGGATTCAGATAAGACAATTGGCCTCATTGAAAGGTTTATTGGTCCATGCATGTAATGCAATTTTTCAGGGTCCTCTGCATTACAGGATTTTAGAAAGAGATAAAGATCAAAATCTGAAAATAAACAATGATGATTATAATTCATTTATGATTTGTTCTGCTGAGAGTATCAATGAAATAAAATGGTGGTGTAAAAATTTACAAACACTAAATGGAAAAGATATCAGATCAAGACCAATTGATTTATGGGTGGAAACTGATGCATCCTTGCTAGGTTGGGGTGCTAGATTTGAAAACAAAATGACGAGGTAGATGGACATATTCAGAATCATCATATCATATAAATGTTTTAGAATTGATGGCTGTGTATTTTGCTTTAAAATCGTTTTTTAAAGAGTACACTTCAAAACATATTTGTTTCAAAACTGACAATACAACTGTGGTTTCTTACATTAATGCAATGGGTGGAATGCATTCAAAACAACTCAATGACCTTTCAGTCAAAATTTGGAATTGGTGCATAAAACGTGATATCATTATTTCGGCCCAATATTTACCAGGGTGTGAGAATATATATGCTGATGCACTTTCTAGGCAATTTGCTGACTCTACAGAATGGATGTTAAAACATGATATTTTCTTGAGAATTTGCAAACAATTTTTTAATCCAGACATAGATCTTTTTGCTTCTCGTATTAATAAACAATTGGGAAAGTTTGTTTCCTGGAATTTTGATCCTGATGCATATCACATTGATGCTTTCACTTTATCTTGGTCAAACTTAAGTCCATATATTTTTCCACCTTTTAAATTAATTGGTAGAATAATCAATAAAATATTAGAAGATAGAGTAAAGCAAGCCATAATTATTGCCCCGTTATGGAAAACTCAAACTTGGTTTCCACAGCTAATGTCTGTTTTGATTTCTATTCCTATTAGACTATTAGACACAAGGATCTCTTGGTGATGCCACACACGGGAGAGGTACATCCACTCCGCAAGATTACTCTAACCGCCTGTCTTGTATCAGGAGATCCCTCTATGACAAAGGGCTGGCAAGATTCGATAGTGACATCATCCTTGCTTCATTACGACCGACTACTAATAAACAATACCAATGCTGCTGGCAAAAATGGGTGCTTTGGTGTTCTAAATGGAAAACTAATCCCTGTTCACCCTCTGAAGAAATAGTTGTAAAATATCTTATTTCTTTGATGAGTAATAAAGTTTCATTTTCTGTTGTGAATACTCATAAATCCATGTTGATTAACACTTTACCATATTTTGGTGTTTTATGGGTTAAAGAACCATTATTACTTCCAAAGTTAATGAAAGGATATTTTAATCTTAATCCATGTCGGCCTAAAGTTAAGACATCATGGGATGTATCAAAAGTTTTGTGTTTTTTACGCATCCTTTCATACCCTCTTGAGCCTCAGGCTCATTACATAGAATGACCCTCATCCTTTACATCCTAAAGGATGCTTGGAGGAGGGTCCATTATATAACCCCGTTCCGCCAAATCCACATCGAAAAAGTATACAGGAATGCGTACGAAATTGAAACATTCCTGTTATATACACGCAGACTTCGTTTTATCATAGCTTTTGATAATAGAAAAAGATTGATGGGAAAATAAGTTCTATGCCCAGGAACAAAATTCTTCGAATACTTAAAGTTTCAACAAGAGATAATATAGGCAAACCATTTTTTTTTTATTGGGGAAAACAATATTACACAGTAAAATGTTTTGATGGATACAAAGTGATCCGTGCATATGGGAAAACTTCAAAACCGCCAACTTCATTAATATTTCATATATATACTACGTGTAATGCAATTATATTAATTAGTAACATTGTTATCCTTATCATGCTGATGGTCAATCGTTCCTTGGGGTTTTATCGAATGATAAAAAGGTCTGGATTTTATGACTGAGAAAAGGAACCACTGTTAAAGAAATACACAGATATGAAAACTTTCCAAGTATTCCACAATATAAAAGACAATTTACTTTCCGATGTACATGAAATGAGATTTACAGAATGTTTTATTGAAGTATTTAATACAGATATTCCTCTGATACAGAAATCGAGGAATCTTTATATGAGCATGATTTTTTGTGCTTTAAAAAACACCACAATACCATCATTCTCTATTAATTGTAAGCATTTTTAGCTCACCTGAGCCGAAGGCTCAAGTGTGCTTTTCTGATCAAAAAGTGTCCGGCGACCATCTGTATTCTGTAAACTTTTCGCATTTTCGACTGCTTCTCAAGAACCACTGAGCCAATTTCAACCAAACTTGCCACAAAGCATCCTCGGGTAATGGGGATTTAAATTTATTCACAGGAAGTGCCACGCCTTCTTTAAGGGGAGATGATTAAGAATTCGTGAAAATATGGTGGCATCTTCTTTCAAGAACCACCGGGCAAGAAAAGATTAAACTTACGTGAAAGCTTCATTACATACTCTAGTTTCAATTTTGTTCATATCATAACCCTCGGGGGAAGGGCGGGACCACAAGAGGGGGCCGTAGTTTTACATAGGAATGTAATGGAAATGTCTTTAAAAATGTTCTTCTCAAGAACAGCAAAGCCATGATTAGTCAAATCCTCAGGTAGTGTAGATTCAAGTTTGTTCCAATCATGACCCCTGGGCAGGGCCACATCAGGGGGTCAAAGTTTACCATAGGGATATAGGGATATATAGGAAATACCTTTAAAAATCTTCTTCTCAAGAACAGCTGAGCCATTATTAGTCATATCAACAAAGATGTATCCTCAGGTAGTGTAGATTCAAGTTTGTTCAAATCACGACCCCAGAGGGTAGGACGGGGCCAAAACAGTGAGTCAAAGTTTTACATAGGAATATATAGGTGTAATGGTTAAGGGGCATTTGAATAAAACGCATTGAAGACTTCAGATAGTGAAATGACCTGACAAAGCTTGGAATGGACTAGCCAAACCAAAGGGTATATAATGCAAAGCTTTGGGAAAGTTAGGCATTCAGAAGCTAGCAGAAGAAGCAGGAAAGTGAATCAGAAATAAAGAAGTTACGGGTAAGAGCAAAACAAAAGTATAAAAGTTATATACACCAGTGGCAGTATCCTAGGGAATTGATGTTAAGTTCTGGGTAAATCAGAAGAAGATTGAGACACCCAGTTCTTATCTATTAATGGGAACCTAGAGGAGAAACACAGTGCAAGTAATACTTTACCCAGTGATGTCCCAGTCCCCATCTCTAGATAAAAGAAAATTTAAGTATTGTGTGATTTACCCTCAAACAGAGCTGTCTTTAAAATAATCATTCCAATCATTAACTCGGACAGAGTAAAAGGAAAAGGAAAACCTATATATGCATTGTAAGAACCTGATCATACACGTTACATAGGAAATATCTTTAAAATCTTCTTCTCAAGAACAACAAAACCATTATTAGTCACAGTATTTATACAGAAGCAATCTTAGGTATTGTAGAATCAAGTTTGTTCAAATTATGACCCCAGGGGTTGGGGGCACAGCAGAGGGTCAACGTTTTGCATTAGAATATATAGGAATCATCTTGAAAAAAAATCTTCTGCTAAAGAACAGCAAAGCCATGATTAGTCATATTATTATAGAAGCATCCTAAGGTAGTGGAGATTCAAATTTGTTCAAATTTAGGGTGGATAGGGTGGAGCCACAATGAGCGATCAGAGTTTTACACAGGAATACATAGGGAAAAAATCTGTAAAATCCCTTCTTTAAGAAAAGCAAAGCCATGATTAGAAATATTGATATTGAAGCATCCTGAGGTAGTGTAATTCAAGTTTGCCCCCCCCCCCCCCCCGGTTCAAAACTGAACTGATTTCTGCTTCTTCTTAGCCAATGTGCTCAGATGAGCGATGTTATCTCCATATTTCATTATAATGTATTTTGCACTCGTAAAATCTTTTCAATATCTGTGAATTTTTTTTCAGTAAACATTGATAAATTTCTTTAAAAAATAATCTTTTAATATAATAATTTAACATACCTCCATGATGCATCATTTATTATAGTAAATAATTACATTTCTGAATGTAACCTCGCCTGTGGAAAAGTTTTTTTCTTCAAGTACATAATTGTATAACATAGCTTTTCACAGTTTTTGGACGTAAGGCCATTCCAAGTTTTTCTCTGTTTAGCGTCTAACCATCTTTCAAAAACCTACCTATCTATTTGCAAAAACACACAAGCCATAAAATAAAACACAGACTTTATAGTCATAAAAATGACGTCATTCAAAAGATTTGATTTCTTTAATTTATTTCTTTTTCATATAAAGATCTATTCTTTAGCAAAATCAAGGTAAATTTATGCTTAAAATATACCTAATATGACATATTGTACATAGATCAATTGGAGAAAATGGCAGAATTCAAAGATTTCAACCAGACTAATCAATTTCAGGACTCCTGGTTTTGTTTGTTTTTTCTGATATTGAGTGTCAAAAACCAAGGCGAACGCGGACTCTAAACATAGAAAAACTTGGAATGGCCTAAGTTAATTGTGTTGCACCAAGCTTACCGAGACTTCAGGATGGGCATGCATGATAGAGCTTTTCAAACGTTTGGTTGTATATGTACATGTACAATTTGTCAATTTGTACAAGTACAGAAGGAAACCAATAATTTGTTGTATTTTGTACATGTACAGTTTATCAATTTCTACATTTAAGAAAGACCATTACACTAAAATTGTAATGGTGGCGGTCGGTATCGGCCATTGTGTTATTACCGTTAGTGTCGGTGGATGGTAACGAGTTTCTGTCTAACAGCTGTAGACCATAAATATCAGCCGTCCTATTCATGATGGAGGTTATATCCTCAAAATCCTAAAAATCAATTTATGTAGAGTGTCAGAAATTACACAAGTTTTTTTTTTTTCACAATACTTTTTTTAGTAGCATCAAAGTCCGCTTTGTATACAGAATTGGTTCGTTGTACAGAAATATTATCCATAAAATTGTAAATTGATATAATAATTAAATGAATATTATGTTTTATTCCCAGGAAATAAATGGTCATGAAAAATCTCTTTTGGGACTAACATCATCTCCATTAACAAGCAATGTGAATTCAGATTACAGACAAGTATAGAATTTCAGACACAGATCATGGAACCCCAATCATAAATATACTCACCAAATATGTTATGAACCAGCTCAAGGAACTGTGAAATAAGAGTAACTTTTCTGCCTGCAAAACAGAACGTCAATTAGGGCTTTAAATCAATTATCAAATAGTCAAAAAATATATTTGAAGATGACGATTCGTGAGACATGTTAATTGTTTTTGCATTTATTCTTAATTAATTTTATAATTTTTCCTATGACATACTGCTTTGATGACGAATTTGACGACAGAGCTGTTCATGGAATGGAGGACTAGCCTTGTCCTTTGAGCACTGCGTAAACTGGTGAGGGTCAGCATTAGCTCCTTATCCCCCTCAGACTTAATGTAGGGAGGTAGACGGATCGGCCAAACCTTCACGTCCCTCCGACTAAGTTCTGGTACCATAGAAAAGTCGTCTGCAGATATTTCATGAGAGAATTTGAATAAACAATTCATAAGACAACCCATTGCCATTCTTATCATTAACATTTCTACTTACTCTGAGACAAGAAGGCGATATTCTTATTTTTCCATTGCATGGCATCAGCAATAATTTTTGACACAGCATAAGCTAATGAACCGGAGTCTGGAAGAATCGGGAGGGATCTCGAAGAAGCCTCAGAACTCTCGGACCTTTCTGTGATGAGATGTGCTTGCTTGGTTATGACGTAGGCCATGGACGTGAAGACATCGATGTATGGTCCAAGTACAGCAACAACTGACTCATTGTTCAGCGTCTGCCGGGCTACCCAGAAATACACACAGTTAAAAGTTTCTGATCATATTAACAAAACTTTTACACGCATATCTTTAATGTACCCGTTTGCCCGTCTGTAAACATTTCACATCTTTGACTTCTCCTCAAGAACCACGAGGTCAATTTCAACCAAAATTGGCACAAAGCATCCTTGGGTGATGTTCAAATGAATGGCCAAGTCCTATTCCAAGGGGGGCGGGGGGGGGTGTAATCAAGAAAAGGCAAAAAGGGTGGGGTCATTAAAAGTCTTCTTATCAAGAACCACTGGGACAAAATTTATGATTTTTCTCTCGTGACTGACCATGTCAGGTTTAAAAGTAAGATATCTTTGTTATAGAGGATATGTGATAATTGTAAACAAAATGAAGGAAATGTTAAAATTTGACCATAATAAAACGGGGTCAGACTCTGCGATAATTGTATGATGGCATATTTCTGCCACCACTTGTCAGATGTTTATGCCGACTTGTCAGATGTTTATATTGACTGATCAGATATTTATTTCAACTTATCAGATAATTATGTCGACTTGTCAGATAAAAATCATCACGACAAGAAACTCGGTATCTTGTTATTACAACATGTTAAAGCCACTAACTGACACCAAAGACACTGATGAATATCACTTCCCTTGACATATCTAATATTGTACAATCTTCCTTTGATTGTTTCATGCGTTGTTTGGAATAAAATATCTCCAAATGGCTGTGATCTAGCGAAAATGGGGGATCGCAAAGCTCTATAAACTTTCTTTTCTTCAGAATTCCATTTATTTCTCTGTGCTTACTTGCAGCAGCGTTGCCAGGTGCAAGAAAATCACCCTGGGGGCGGTATTTGGACTTCCTTTGTAGGAAATCTGTTTACATTTCCTCAGTGCAATTTTAACATAAGTTCCCATTGATGGTCCTTCATTTGTGTGTATGTACATGTTTTACTGGACCTCTTGAAAAAAATGAAAACTAATAAAACATGCGTGGAGCCTTTGTTTCTCTTTACAATAATAAGAACGATAGCTTTTTCATTGATTCTGCATTTTACTATTGATCTTCCTTTATGGCTAAAAAAAAGTCCACCTATGTTTCGTCATCCATAACCCAAATTTAACAAATCTACTATTTTATTAAAATATTTGTTTTTAAATAGACCGTTGGCACCTTTAATGCGTGTTTTCTCTAAGGCAATTTTAAGAAAATAAGGCACCTATCTGATAGAAATTATTTTATTCACTTCCGTTGTCAGAATTCTATAAAATCTTGTGGTGATGGAATGCTTAGTATCTTAGCAATGTCTTTCGTATTAAATCTGACATTTTCAGATATCATGTTGCACATAGCATTTTTTGGTGTCCCTACAACAATCGACCAGTTTGTTATATTTTAACTCTCGCTTTCTACTTTTGAATTTCTTAATCAATCAAAAAACTATACAGCGTTAAAGACTACTCTTTTCGCATATAAAAACCATATCTTTAATATGAGTTCTTGACGATTTACGTAAAGAAGCACAATTTTCACATACGCTCTCATTTTCATCTTCTTGGCAGAGACCATTTTAAACGGTTTTCAGCTCAGTGTAGTGACCATGCTTACTTTAAAAGTGAATTTCTTTGCGAGGACAATAGGAAAAATCATGGGGTTTTCTGTGACTAGAAGCTCTTTAATTGAACGTTTCAACTGTGAAAATATAAAATTAAACAAGATTCTATATTTACTATGATATACTGTTTGTTGCATTATTTATTTAACTACCCTGGTATTGTACCTGTACTAAGGGAATTGTACACCGCATCTCCATCCGACTGGTCGTAATCTAGCTGTAAAAACTCTATCTTGCAATAACCGCTGTCATGGTTCTGCCTCAGCAGGGTTTGGCGAAACTCTTTTATCCGATTGGAACCTTTATAACCGACAACCGCTTGGGAAATAGAAAAAATGGATCAAATGATTAAAAAAAAAAAAAAAAAAAAAAAAAAAAAAAAAAAAAGAAAGAAAGAAATTGTCAAACCATCTCGTTGATAATATTTATGTGCTAGAGTAAAATATGAGAACTAATTATCAAAATTTAAATTACACAGCAGAATAGCATGTCGATTTCGAAAGAACTGAATAATTAATTACCCGCAATTACTATGAGGATGAAGTACAAAATATCACACTGAATTATCAATAAAATTAACTGAATTATCAGGAAATTTTGTATAACTCTCATTATCACGAGATGTACGACTGGGCACCAATGGGGCATATCCTCTAGATCCAATGATTTATAACAAATCTATCATCTGACATTTCTATTTTAAAAATATTTCTATCATCACTTGCACTATACTGCTATATGATACTGCTTTAATTTGCTTTGCTTTGCTTTGTGTTATTTCTATTTTTGAAATTTCAAAATTAATATTTGTACAAAACATTTTTGCAAAGGTTGAAATCCTCATCTTTTTACTGTCTTTGACTATTTTCCTTCACCATATTACTCTTATGTAACACAACTGACAGATGCTTTCGTCACGTTTTAACACAGCTTTTTACTTTCACTTGTTTATTCAGTGACCGAAGTCAAATAGAATTCAAACTCGTTAATGCTGTTCATTGATTCGTTCAGGAGAATTCCCAGGCCACGTGATCTGGTAACGAGAGAATTCAATTTTCTGGAGAAAATATCTGTTTACTTATGACGCTTAATTAATAAATCCATAACCTCAATACACAATTTTGGCATCAGATAATAGATCCAGATACAATTTTCTTATGATTAGGCTAGCTGGAAAACTCTGCACTAAGTCTGCATTAAAGACATTTCTTTGCTACATGTATATATACATTTCTTATCTATAAATGTTATGCATTTCTAATGTATAATATAATTTTTTAAAAATATATTGAAAAAAGTTAACAAATTTTCAAATGTAAAAAAAAATAAATTAGACTTTAAATTATCAATTCTAAATTTTGAATAACACAGATAAAACCAGCAATTTTCAGAAAATTAAAAAAAATGGGATTCCTACCTGCAGTCAGGTAATAATCAAAGGCCAGAATGCTGTCCACCAACAGAATGGTCAGCAGAACGAAGTAATACACGCGACCCATTAGCCCACTCCGAAAGCAGCACTCTTTTTTACACGAGGAAACACAGTCTATCCACAGAACCATTCACAACCTCTAATCTGATGATATCAGGGATTTGGCCTGTCCTCTGCCATTTCCCTATAGGGATATTAATAAATGAAAATCAAGCCACACTCCCCCTCGACATTTGTGGGCCATCAATTATAGATGTACATTCCACGTTCTCTGTGTGCTACGAGACCCGGATAGAAAACTTCCAGGAACCAAAATGACGCACAAACAGTTTCGGAATCAGTGTTTTTTGAATATAATTTCTAACTCAGAACACGATTTCCAGCTGTAGTTCCATCACTCCAAGGTAATTTTTAAGAAGTTTTTTTTTTCTTTGGTATTAATATGTACAGCTTTTATAAATATAAACACAACTCATTTTCTAACCATTGTTAAATCTGAATGATTTTATCATTGGTATCTGTAAACATTTTCAATGTCTATTGACGGTAAGAACTTATTTTATTTCGTTGCTGCATACTTTGGAGGTTTGTCTATATATCATTTATTTTGAGGCAATTGGCCAGTATGTTAGGATAGATTATACAGATATTGCTATTCGGAAGATCGAAATGAATTTTGTTTATTTTCAGAACATGTCATTGAAATCAGAATCTTCATGAAGAATTGATCTGACGGGTGCAATCCCCATGCATACATAATTCTGTAGGCCAAATCATAAGCTTTGTTTGCTTTCACCATATTGCCACCATATTTTTATGGTGCCACATCAACATACAGTAATTGCAGAAAACCCTGCATTGCGCAGAAGAGTCTAGATTTGCACCAAGATTCGATATCAGCCATATGCTAAATGTGAAAAATATTTATTACGGACATTGATCCAAGGGTTGTTAACGAAAGGGGGGAATATGTAGTGGTGTTTGTCAAGCGAGGAATTGGTTTAAAGCATTGTAACTGAAAATGCTTAAAAAGTATGTCTTTGAAATCAAAATCATGAAAATAGGACAATTTTCTTATCTTTGTGCATTAAAGCAAGTGCAAGTTTACATTTGTTTTATATAATCTATATAAATTATACCTTCGTTCAAAATTTAAAATAAAATAGAAATTATAGTGTATATAGAAGATTTAAACCTAAATTTTGAAGTTTTAAATTTATTCAGTTTGAGAAAATTGCATAATGTTTACAAATACAAGGGAGTATTTAAAAAAATTCTGAGTTTTTATAGATTTCAATGTAATTAAATATACATTTATCATGAATACACCTTATCACTTTTATAGATAGTGAAAATGAGACCCCATACAGTGATGCTCTTTTTGCTATTCGAGTTGTGTTTAATTCAAATATCCCGTCAACTTTGTCAACAATCAACGAATGGAAAAGCGTTAGGTTTCTATATTGGTGAGTTCTGTTTAAAGAGTGCCACTGTTAGTGCGATGATAACACAGAAACTTCTGCAACTCAAATTTACAGACGTAGAAAAGCATTTTTAGCTAACCTGAACCACCAAAGGTTCAAGTGAGCTTTTCTGATCGAAAAGTGTCCGGCGTCCTTCTGTCTGTTGTCTGTACACTTTCCACGTTTTCAACTTCTTCAGAACCACTTTGCAATTTGAACCAAAATTTTCATGAAGCATCCTTTGGTGAAGGGAATCAAATTCATGCAAATGAAGAGCCAGACCCTCTTTTAAGGGGAAATAATTAAGAATTTGAAAATTTTATTTCTTTAAAAAAAATTCTTCTCAAGACCCCCTGGGCCAGAACACTATCTGATATAGCGTGGATTCAAATCATGCCTCCTGCGTTATAGCAGGTCCACCACGACAGGAGATCAAAGTTTTACTTAAACAATAAAATGCTTTCTTTGGTTGTTATTACGAGATTTAATGTCGCAGCTGTTGCAGAAAAATAAATAACCCGCGTAAGCGGGTTATGTAATTTTTTTTCTGCAATACCTGCGACGTTAATTCCCGTTCAAACAAACAAAGAAAGGCATTTTATTGTTTTTATTTATATCTGTATAAAATACATTCAAAGTAAAATTAGATATGTTAAATATTGTAACAGCCAAGGCTCAAGGAATCTATGCAGGTGTCTTGCTAAGTGTCGTTTACTGACTGATAAACGACAATGGTTTCATAAGAAACAAAGGAAATAATATTCAGTGGATGTAAATATATGAGAATTAGGGATGGCAACGAATATTCGAACATTCGAATATTCATTCGATGAGTTGATATTCGAATATGAATTTAAGATTCGAATATTCGGTGTTTTTCAGATTTCATAAAGAGAAGTACTGTGATTAATAAATTTTGATTAGAACAGTGCTGGAATTATCCCTGTTTAATTTACTAGCGATCAATTTGATTTCGCCCGATTTCTTTCACCACTTTCTTATCTTATAAATTTACTAAATTATTTTGTTTTGAGTAAGGTGTTAAAGAATTATACAATAATCCTTTATGTATAAAACAAAAATTACTTTCATTGTTTTATTAGTTAGATACAATGTTTTACATGGCAGTAAGTTGGAAAGAAATCTTTTAAAATCTTCATCTCAGAAACAGCCATGCCATGATAAGTGATATCAATGTGCAATCATTTTTACATGTACCGGTAGGTAATGCAATCTCAAATTTGTTCAAACTATGACCCATGGGGTAGGTTGAGCCCACAACTGAAGATCGAAGTTTTATATTGGAATATTTATTAGAAAAAAGAATCTTTAAACATTTTCCTCTCTGGAACAACATGGTCATTATTAGTGATATTAATATTCAATCATTCTCAAGTAGTACAGATTCAGTTTTTTAATCATGGCCCAAGGGGGTTGGGTGGGGAAATCTTAAGAACAGCAAGGCAATGATTAGTAATATTAACATGAAGGCCTCTTATGATAGTGCATATTCAAGTTTGTTCAAACCATGCCCCCTAGGGAAAGGGTAGGCATGTTTTTATGGACTTGTTTATGTGGATAGGCTTTTATTTAATGAATATTAAACCTAAACTTAGTAACCTTTGCAAAATTCTGCAAATATATATATATATATATATATATATATATATATATATATATATATATATATATATATATATATATATATATATATATATATATATGTATATATATGTATGTATGTATATATTACAGAACTTTTATTAAATTACTCAGCCAGATCGTATGCCTTTGGCGTACCATACTGTTTATATAGTTTATGAAATATTTTATTCGTTATATCCACTGCTCCTTCAACATTAATAGGTGTACTAATGCAACTTTAGAATAAACTTGATGTGGTCTTATTGAAATTAAATGCGTATGATAAAAATACGTTTAATTAACTACCTTAATATGATGGAATTGGTAATTCAAATATTGATCATAATATTTATAATTAATATCTTTTTCTTATTAAATAATACTTATTTTCATTGTAATAAGAAATGAAATATACTATGATATGAAGGGCAGTACTAATGGGGGGGGGGGGGCGAGAACTGGCTGGAGGGGTTTAAACTAGAGTAGAATTTTCCCCTCGGAAAGATTAATGTATAGTGCGATTCCCGTGAGGGAAATTCTACTTTGGAGCCAGTTTTCCATGGGGGAGACTCCTACTCTAGAGTAAGATTTCCGGGGGGGGGGGTCCTATTCTAGAGTCAGCTTTCCGAGGGAAAAAATGTCAGGGGAAAATTCCTACTCAACAAGACCGGTATAAAGGGGGAAAATCATTTATTTTCCACAAGAACAGCGAGGCCAATTTGACTCAAGCCCAAGGAACTCTTGTTCATCACGTTACATCATTCTTATGCCATGTTCACACGGAGAGTACTTTAGTTACTTCGAATTTAATTTGATCCGCGTTCACATTTAATTTAATGCGAATTAGTTTAAGGTCAAGATCTAGTAAATGAAGAGTGCCTACAGATTTCTCAAATTTGAGAAACAAATTCCTTGAATGATCTATTACAATTATAGCTAAATAAATTTAGGTGTATCGGGACATAATTTTTAGATAAACTCAACGAAAACCCTATTTAATACTGCCCTTTTCAATGAAAAATGAAGAAAACCAGGTATAAAAATGGGAGTTTTCCCCATATCAGTCAAAGGAAATGTATCCATATTGCCTACAGTCTCTCAGAAAACGGTTTTTCATATCTTCTTGACCTCTTCTTTAAAATTATATTAAATTGAATATATGTATCGGGGTTACTTTTGACATGATTTCAACTTGATTTCCATGAAAATGCGTCATTTTCTATATAATTCTGTTACAGCTATAAAGTACGGGAAAAAGGAAGTTTAAATCAATTATGACGTCATAATGGGTCTAGCACAAAAAAGACAGTCTAAACTCATTTACTAGATCTTGACCTTAATTCGAATTAGTTTACTGCGCATTAAATTACTTCGCATTAACTCCGTGTGGACGCTAAGTGAAGCTAATTCGAATTAAATTTTGACGCATGCGTAAGGACAGAATTAAGTCACAGGCCACATGTCGATGGTCAAATTTAGGTATTTGTGCTATTTTTAAGTGGAAAACAGGAAAATTATGTTAATCACTAAAATGTGTACAGACACTTTGTCAAATGCCTCTGTTCTGCACAATATGACTTGATTTTTAATGACGTCATATAATAGCCTCACTGAATAGCCTTGTTGTAGAAATAAAATTATAATTCGCATTAGTTTACTTCGCATTAGCTGTCGTGTGAACGCAATTTAATTCGCATTAGTTTAATTCGCATCATTTTACTTCGCATTAATTTACTGCGAATTAAACTCTCTGTGTGAACAGGGCATAAGGTCATGTAAATTTTTCTGAGGAGGAAGAATTTGTAGATACAGTACCCGTGGCGTCTAGTTTTAACAGAACATAACACACTTTCATTGGTATTTCAGTACATTGCATTGATCTTTTCATGTAAGACATGGTGCCCGTTTTACAAAAGAACTTACGACTAAGACCAAAAACTTGAGTTGATTGCAAAACTTTGCAAATTTAATAATTCTGTTTAAATTATTGCTAGAATAAAAGTATTTTTCTACATACCTTTTAAAAAGATTAAAACCATTTTCTATTTAATGTAAATTAAAAAGTTACTAACAGAATTAAATTTTGGTCTTAGTCGTAAGTTCTTTTGTAAAACGGGCCCCTGGTCATTAATTATAATCATTTCTTAATTATTTACCTCTAGGAATTCTTTATGACGACACAGAAATTCAACTTATAGATACACTGCGTAAAGATTACTTACAAACAAGCATGTCAACCCCTGAAGAAGAAGAAGTAAAAAACTGCTTTTACAACAAAAATGTCGACATCGACGTGAAAAACGACCTTCAGATTCAAACTTTGGGATGGACCAACATACAAAAAGCCATCAAATCTGGTATCAATTATATCATTTCTAAGCTTTCACGTATGCATGAACATCTGATTTTTCTTGATAGATGATAAAGAAAGTGAAAGAAAATCTTATGAAAGTGATAAAAGATTAAAAAAATCACAAATTAAATGATAATTTTTGTGTATTTGCGTTATATTATTAGTGAGGAGTGTTATATAGTAATATCTCATTTTCTTTGCAACCTTGATTTTACTTAAATGAACTTTTCGATTATTATTCATTAAAGCTGCCGCAGATGAAGCTGATGTTGGAAAGAGTCTCAGTGTCATTATTGGTCCCTTCTATGTTAATATTGCGATGATAGCCGAGAAAATGGACGTACCCTACATTGTCACTGATTACAAAGGGTTTGATTGGATAGATGTTAGCCGCGTTAGAAATCACGTGACATGGAAAACGATGCTGGAAATGAAACCGCCTGCTCATCAAGTAAATATGGCGGTTGTGGATATGATGACAGCCTACGGATTAAAAATAGCAGTTGTTGTTAAACCAGACGACCCAACTTCTGAACAAGGTTACGGAATATACAAGATTGTTACCAAATAATTAGACAAGTTTTTGTTCTAAAATAATATGACCAAATTATTCATCAGAAGTTAAATAATATAAAATGGCTTCCTTGTAGTAATCAGATTTACTACTGGCTGCTATAGAATGAATCGTTTTTTTTAACTTATTCTGATCATAATTACTGTGTTTACAAATTACTCTTTCCATATTGTTTGAATTACGAATTTCACAGAAGTAATCCAGTTTCTCTGAATTTTGACGGTCAGACCTGTCTTTCAGAATGTGACGATTTACTCGCCCAAATGATGGATAACAATATATCCCCGATCTCCTACTCCCTGGAAGTATCCACAAAAGAAAAAATGGCAACCCAGGCATCAGAACTCTTGAGAACTGCACAGATGTTAAATATAAAGACAGTGCTCGTGTGTAGTCCCCGAGAATACCGCCACAATCTTACTGGCATCATCCTAAGCAGGGTTTGCTTTCTTTATCCTGATGTTTAAAGGTCGATGGTGTCGACATTTCGTAATTTGATGACACAAATGCATTTATCTCTATTATTCTATTTTAATTAAAGCAATTGTTTTAAACAAAAAAAAATACATTCTTGATATTTCAGGCGAAGACATTCGGAATGTTGAGCGATGAAACGAGAATATTTATGTTACTAGACACGGTAATGAATTAAACCTCACGATCAATTGTTAATATATATTATTATGTATTTGTTTGAGAGAGAGAGAGAGAGAGAGAGAGAGAGAGAGAGAGAGAGAGAGAGAGAGAGAGAGAGAAGAGCATTTCTGAGGCCCTAAAACGTGTGTACCTTAAACAGAATGGAGCTAGATTTTTACAGCACATTCAGAAATAGTTGACAGGGATTAGCAATGTGCAGATTTGAACAAGTGCTTTACATTAATGTACAAGGTGAAGATCTCAAACAGCGATCACTCTCATAAATCCATGAACAAAACGAATCGTGAACAGGGCAACCTCTGTAAACACCGGCAGAGGTGGGATCAGATGCTTATAGCTAGGAGGAGTAAGCCTCCCCATGTTGACTGCTCACATCCGCCTTGAGCGCTATGTATTGATCAGGTATACGGAGTATTCCGTGGTAGAATTTAGTATAAAAACAATGACCTAACAAATGGTATAAGACGTGTCAGACAGATTACGACCCAAAGAAAGATCATTATAACTACCGTAGAATTTTCGAAAAGCTGACGTTAAACGGGGATCTTGAAATCCTTATGACATCAACTTATTTGTCAGGAGACTGCTTCGGTTTAAAAATTGATCGTACTCCAGCATCTTTATAATATCAATTTCAGAGTATTTTTACGTAGAATCAGAAATAATTTTGTAGATGACCAATCACAAGATATGAAAATTTACGAGTTCCATTTTTATTGAGGAAGCAGTTGTCTATGATGTCAAAAAACCTGCTCTTTAACAAATATGTATTACAAGATGCGATGAAGAAATACAATCCTTTTTGACTAGATTTTTTAAAAAAGATTTACCTTCATTTGAAGGATTTTTACCTGACCAGTTTAAGTGAGGACAATATTTATCGCAGTAAGTACTATGCAGCCCGCTGTCAGCTGTTGGCTTTCCGCTATCGTGATGTCGTACAGGATTTCTCGTCCCCCACCCAAGCTATTGCGGAGGACGTGTATCGTCTACTCGTAGAGGCGAAGAAAAACTACATGACTATTGAGGGGAAACAAAGCGACATCGATAGCAGATTGTTTCTTGAGAGTTTAAAGAAGGTAAGATTAATATAGCAATTTGTATTTAAGGAAAGACCTCTTAAATTCGCAACAGGCTGTTTCTGCATTGTTAGAGGTAGGTGACAAGTACATTTGTTCCAGAAGAACAGTGTCCGCAATGAAATACAATGTACGTATCACCATGAGTCAATTGTTTGTCAAAAAACCTCCATCAGAAAACTTTTACATTACTAGATAGTTTTTCAATTTCAAACTGGAAAGATTTCAATTAATCTCTTGTTTTTTGTAAGTGATATGACAACTGTTAGCATTGATAACAGTATACTGCAGTCATTTGAATGTTCCGTTGGTTTCCTTTATAACTGTGCTACAGAAAGTTAGCTTCTTTTAGGTTTCGTTTGACGGTAAGACAGGAAGAATTCAGTTTGATGCCACTAATGGGGCACGTGTGAACTTTACGCTCCATCTGTACCGTCATGGGGGAAGCGAAGATATCATCACCAGGGTAAGCTATTCTAACTCGCCATACTTCTGTTAAAATGTTTCTTATATAAAGTTAAGGTGACAAAAGAACTATTTTTCATACATCTGAAAATTTTCACTAGTAGCAAAACTATACCTCAGCGTATAAATTGTGCTAATCATCCCTCTAAAAAATTTTCAATAATATTTTTACGCCAATTTTGATTTCTTGTAATATGATTTGTTGGCAATGCAAAATGCGAAAATGCATTTTAACTTCAAAAAGAAAATTAGAATTTTTAAAATAAAAATGTTATATTATATTTTTTTTTAATTATTTAAAGTCTATTGAATGTTGACTATCTTTGATTATGTATCAACAAGAAGTGTTTGTGAAAAACTGATGCCCCCGTATGGCAGTTATGGCAAAGGTTAAAGTTTCTCAAATGCAAGTCAAACACCAAGGTCAAGGTCAAGAGATCAAAAATGTTGTTACCCAAAGACAGGACTTGTGTCAATGGATATATCTGGTAAATATGAAAGCTCAAGCACCAACCATTCAAATGTTATGGTCAAAGATAATGTTTTATAAAAGTGGGTCAAACTCCAAGGTCAAGGTCAAAGGGTCAAAATTAATGGTACGCAGCGCAGGGGAAGACCTTGTAATAAGAAATGCACATGCAAAATATAAAAGCCCTAGCACCAACTTTCAAAAGTTAAGGCGAAGGTTAAAGTTTTTCAAAAGTAGGTCAAACTCCAAGGTCTAGATCAAAAGGTCAAAATTGTTGGTATCCAAAGAAAGTTCTTGTCACAAAAAATATACCTGTGAAATATATGAAAGCCCTTGTGTTAATGTTCAAAAGTTATGGCCAAGGTTAAAGTTTTTTAAAAGTGGGTCAAACTATAATGTCAAGGTCAAAAATATTTACATCCATGGAAAGGTCTTGTCACGATGTTCAAAAGTTATGGCCAAGGTTAAAGTTTGGTAATTTTTTGCAAAAGTGGGTCAAAATCTAAGGTCTAGAGGTCAAATATGTTGTACCCAAAGGAAGGTCTTGTCACAAGGAATACACATGTGAAATATGAAAGCCATAGCTCCAACCAATCAAAAGTTATGGACAAAGTTAAAGTTTTTGCGGACAAACAGACGGACGGACAGGGCTAAAACTATATACATGTACCCCCGAATCTTCGATTACCGGATAGAAATAGGGTTAATGTTTTAAGACCAACTGGACAAAGACCAGAAGAGCTTAGTAAACTAACTGGTAAGGTGTCAAATGTCCCTCCGTCTGTAAGCAATTTTTTAAAATCCTACTCCTCCTATAGTTTTTTTTCCCAATTTTGATAAGACTTAGTTTTCCCCCCCAATTTTAATAAGACTTCGTACACAACTAGATGTTACTAGGATTCATAATTCTAATTATATCTGTTGATTCGACAGAAAGTGGTTTCTAAAATAGAAATTTCCTTGAAATTCTTTCAAAACGCTACTCCTGGTTCAATTTCAAAAAGACTTGGTACTCATGTAGACTATACTAGATACATAATTCTGTGAATCACTTTTGATTTCAACTAACGGTATTGCCATGAGTAATAAAAATAGAAATTTCTTTGAAATTCTTTCAAAATACTACTCCTCCTACAGTTTTGGTCCAATTTCATTGAGACTTGGTACACCTGTAGACTGTACTAAGATACGGAATTCTGTATATCACTTTTTGATTTCAATAAATGTATTACCATGCTTACTAAAAATAGAAATTTCTTTGGAATTCTTTCAAAACGTTACTCCTCCTACAGTTTTGGTCCATTTTTTATAAGACTCAATACACAAGTAAATTATAATGCTAAATAATTCTATATATCGGTTTTTGATTTCGACAGACGATGTTGCCATGGATACTAAAAATAATGTTTTCTTTATTTTAAAAAAAACCACTACTCCTCCTATAGTTTTTGGTCTGATTAGACTTTTTACACTTGTAGATTATATTAATATACATCTTTCTTATTATTTCATTATAAGTACACATCAGTAGAGCTACAGTCTCATCAGAGACTTCTGGTTTCTCTAAGAACATAGCTCTTAAGTATGATTGATTTACTTTTTTAATTTTCTAATATTGTTCGTAGTATATTACCTGTTTAGTCATAAAACAAATATACCATGAATTCACTCCTTCGTCCCACTTCACGAACCTTTTCTACTCTCTCTTTTTTTGAAGAGTTCTGACAAATCTTAAATGAATATTAGTTAAAAAGTAGATATAATAACTTTAGCAACATTTTACTTGATAAGGTGTAAAATAATGCTTTATTCTAGATTGGAGAATGGTCACCAGAGAAGAATGGGGCTGGTGAAAGATTTACAAAGCTGAACGAGTCTGAACCACTTCGGAAGGGGACCAAGAACCTGTTTGACGGCATCCAACGTGTGGCTGTGGTTTTGGCATGTCTATTAATATTTAAAAAAAAAAATTTTGTTTCAATTTTCCTTTAAATCACAATTGAGAAGAACCACCGAGGAAAAAATAACAAAACCTAATTACGTTTATAGATGTGTGTTCAAATGAAGGAAAACTTAAAATTTCAACATTTTTGTGATTGGCTGCAGCCAATCACGATTCCATTCGAGGCATCTGCAAAATGTAACCATTTGTGCGTATATGATACAAATTTGTTGATATGTAGCTACTGTGTACTTATCATATCACTTCATATACCAGAAAACTTTTCTTTATTAGCTCACCTGAGCTTCAAGCTGATCTTTTCCAAATTTGACCGTGGTCTGTTATTTGTCGTCGTCTGCGTTTTAAATATTTGACTTCTCATGGTCCATTGTGTATAAAAATACGTGACCTCTAACTGTTTACTTCTGAAATGGTAGTAAATTTTTCCATTTAAACTGAAAGTAATTCCTTCGTATATATTGTGGGAAAAATAATTAATTGAGTGTTTTAGAGGAGAGTTAATTTGATCATGAGGTTTTGAACCTACATGTAAAGTTCTGTCACACTTCTGTGCCATTTCTGTCTTTAATAGAATAGGAGAGATAAACGTACATATACATAAGAGTTTTACACTTCTTGATCATTTCCTTTGGCATAAATACCTCTTGTAACTTATGTGCATTAAGGACATAAAATAAATTACAGGAGGCTCCATTTGTGATGCTGAAGGACGACCCCACATTGAAGGGGAACGATCGATACGAGGGGTTTACAATTGATCTGTTAGAGGAAGTATCCAAAAGGTGTGGGTTCGAATACGAAATATATCACGTGACGGAATATGGGTCTCCAATTGGAGGAGGAATGTGGAATGGAATGGTTGGAGAAGTCATTGATGGGGTAATTAGTACATTAGAGAAACTTTAGTACATGTTTGGATAGCTGACATTTAAAATTACTATTTTTTTCCCTTTACAAGCAACTATCTGTTACTGAATGTGTGTGAGGTTTTGATGTTCTCATTTTTGTCAAGAAGCAATGATATGATACCTATGCCTATCCACACGTATATTTTAATTACACAATAGTATTAATTATGAATTTGTGGTGTAAATGTAGAGTTAAATAATGTAACACCCTTTTACTTATTCATTGTTAATAAAGTAAATTGTAATAATTTACGAAAGAACAGCCCTCTTGTCACAAACGTGTAATTTTCAGAAAATGGAGATGAATATGAAACACCTGCAATTTACCAGACAGGGGGAAAAGGAAATGAATTAAAATTCTGTAAGGAAACAGTAATATATGTTTCAATTGTGGAGTTATCCCTCTTAGCAGAGGCTCTGATATGTTGTTATTCGCTGTGGCTAATCGCAGTTAATCCCTAGGTATCCGGAAAATGTAACATTATGCACGTAATGCAACGGACTGCATTGTGCATCTCCTACTCACAATTATTCAACTATCTTTTAAAATAAATACTTGTTTATTTTTAAAACTGAACAATGCATTAAACCATTTGAGGCATACATGCAAGTTCGTTTTAAAATTTTTAAAGAACATATATCTTGTTATTTTTAGAGGAAAGAAATGCTGTCATAATTTCAATAACAAATGTTTACCTCAATGCTCGAAAGTAAAACTATTAAAGCCTATAATCTTTCGGGTCAGTTGCTCATTTGTGCAACACCATTTTCCTATATGATGAGATAGAACAAAAGAGCTCTATTTTAGTTTAAAATTAAAAAAAAAACTTTCGTACAATAAACAATATTCAGACCATATTTGTTTACTGCTGAATTCGTCCTTGTTTTCCATTGTAGAATGCGACATTCGGAATGGGGGCTATTTCTATTACCTCATCTCGAGAAAAGGATGTGGATTTCAGTTTGGGTGTCATGACAACAGGTGTCAACCTTCTGATATCAAAACCCAAAGTAATGGACTCAATATTTCAGTTCATGGAACCCTTTTCTCTGAAACTGTGGATGGCAATCGTTGGTGCGTCCGTCGGTGTGTCTCTATTGTACTTTAGCTTGGATTATTCAAGCGAAGAACGTAAGTTTTCGGTCAGGGAAACTTGGTGGTTTTCTATCGGAACACTTCTAATGCGAGGGACTGATTTCGCTCCTCGTCCTTCTTCACAGAGAATTCTTACAGCCGGGTTCTTGTTCTTTGTCTTAATTACAGTATCGTCTTATACAGCAAACATGGCGGCTTTTTTGACAACGAACAACCTTGAAAAACAAATACAATCGCTAGAAGAACTTGTTGAAAGCCCGGAGTATGATTGTGGAACAGTTAAATCTTCCGCGACCATGAATTTCTTTAAAACTAGTGACAATAAAATCTATCGTGATGCGTGGAAGAAAATGAGCAAAGGGGGACTAGTAGCTTCTTCGCAGGAGGGTCGTGAGAGGGTTAAGAGGGGAAAATACGCCTTTATATTTGATTATATGATTAATTCGTACTCAGAACTCACGACATGTGAAACCAAAATGGTGGGAACCCCTTTCAGGCTCCAGGAGCACGGTATTGTGATGAAACAAGGAGCACCTTTCAAAACGAATATTAATATCAATCTCCTTAAAGTTAAGGAATCCCCGGTCATGGCGCAATTAAAGAATAAGTAAGTATAAAAATAAGTGAGTATAACAGAATAAGTATAAAAGAATATCTAGCTTTGTCAGTTTCATGTTTTTTCGATACTTTTTTGAAAATGTTTTTACCCTGAATATTTTTATTGCGTTTCATCAAGATTGTTGCAATTCTATATTTTTAAGATGGTGGGAAAACAAAAGGAAATGTGATCTGATGGAAAGCCAGCCTACAGTGGAGTTTGGAATCAAACACATGGCGGGGGTGTTTATAGTGGGAGCAGCGGGACTTGTATGTGCTATTCTATTCTTCCTTGTAAAGAAGTGGTTTGTGCACATGAAAACGAAAGAAAACTCCGCGGGGCCAGACACAGGGACCAAGGAGACTATTTATACCCCTGATAAAAACCTCAGTAAAGAAGACATAGCAAACGCCGTCAGTGTTTGACGCCACATTATAGTGAAAATGTCATTTGACAAATTAAAATCGCAATCAGTCTTTATGATGTATTAAATGTCAATACTAGTCATACTGTAGTTAAAATTTGAACGTCTCTGGTGTCTGTTGAGTACACGGACGTACATATAGGATTATTGTGTAATTTTGAATTTGCATTATCCATATAGTTGAACTGGGAAAACTTGGCTGGCATATATACAACATTTCAATGGGTTGAAGATGTACAAAATACCATATTAGTATTTGTTAAAATACCTTTCTTAAAATTGTTTCTTATGTAAATCTACTAGTATACTAAATAAAGACTAACATTACCAATGTTTTACTGAGAAATAAACGAAATCGATGTTGGACCGCTGGGTGAGATGGACCTGTCGATAAGATGTTGGACCACTATGGCGTTTTTTACGTCACATCGTAGGCTCGAACCGTGATGTTCCATTTATCTCGTATGATTTTGTCATCATGATTTTGAATAATTTCTTCAAATAAGATACAAACTGATTTTGTCTCTGGACCGATGTCGCAAAGCCTATTGTGCTTTTATTGTTATAACTTCGGCATAAAGTTGGCACTTTTTAAAATTATGCATGTTCAGTTTTAATAAAATGTCTCTATGAACTCTTCTGTAGATCTTATGATTTGGTCATTATACACAACCTGTTAAACACTTCCTGTATATCTGGCAAGTATATGTCATGAGGAACGATCAAACCATAAGCTATAGCCAAATATCGAAAATCTGTCCGCGGCACAAATACATATTTATAAATTAATCTTATTTATTACAAGATTTCCCAGCTATGTTTTTATTCATAACAATACTTCACAATAAACGAAACAACTCATACAGAGAAACATATATTGTGTTTAATGCGTTAATAAAACATTGACCATCATTTTATTTATAAAGGATACCAATAACTTATTCAAGATTATCAGTACAAACGGCTGAATGGCATATTGATGTTTGTAGGAAAAAGCCTTGACAGCTTTTATATACTGATTCCAAAAATATGATGATAACCCGAGAGAAGTTTTTTGTGAAAATTATAAAGGTTTCTGGTAGGGAAAAAAGTCTGAAACATTACTTTGTTATGGTAACCAATAAAAGTTTGTTCTTGACATATAGCTTGTTCATAATTTATGGTGGCGTCATGATGTTGACCGAAGGTCATTATGGAGAGTTCAAGGTCACTAAAAAACTTAGGCAGTAACTTTGTAACGGAAAAACAATGAAACATGATAACAAAGATAATACTTTTAACATTCCAGTCAACGTAAGTGAGTTCTATCTACCCTACCTATAATCCATTCCTAAACTTCATAAAAATCCTTACAAAGATACATTGCGGGTCCAGCAAGTGCTCTACCAAGCCCCTGTCTTTACTCCTCACAAAATATAAACTGTTGTAAAGGAGAAGCTTTGGATGTACTGTGCTACAGCATATTCTAGAATTCTAGTGGATTCTCAAAAACTCCAAAGAACTTTTAGAAAATTTAAAATCACAAAATTTTTCAGAAGTTACACTGTGGTAACATCAAAACGTGACTTTTTACTGTGTATTTATTAGTTGACCTGTTTTTATATTCCCATGAAGCATAATCTATTCAAAAAACTTCTTCATGAGAAGAAGAAAACCTTTGCTGTCACCTTCAACTCGACATTCAGATATATCGATGACGTTTTATCAATTTACAATTGTTACATGTACTTCCATTCATACATGTATGTCGACTCGATATATCTCATTGAACTCGAAATAAAAGACACAATGTTCAGTGTCTGCCACAGTTTCATATTAATTTTTTTACTGACTATAGACGATAAGGGTCAATTAAAAAACTAAACAGTATGACAAACGAGACAACTTTCCTTAGTTTTGTATTACTGTTCCTCTATCACCTGCACATGGTGTTTATGTCTCTCAACTTTTATTACGATCAATTTTTTAAATCGTGGCAGCCTATGACAGATTAGTTGTTGTTACAGGGATTTCAACAACCTCGTTTAAGGTCAGTATTTCTTAAGTTCTCTGGTCGCTATAATGACCTTGTTAGCAAATATATCCTATCATTGGGTCGCATTTTGACTGACATATATCATACTAATTGTTAGGCCTTTGTTTTATATTAAATTTGACACTACGGAATGTTCCGTCTACCTGATCAATACATAGGGCTCACCGGTCAACAGAGGATGTCTACTCCTCCTAGACACCTGATCCTACCTCTGGAATTTCCAGGGGTCCGTGTTTTATGCCCTGTTCACAGATTTGCATTGTTTATATTTTTATGCCCCCGGATCGAAAGATCCCGGGGGTATATTTTTTTGTCCTGTCTGTCTGTTTGTCCGTTTGTCTGTTTGTTTGTCTGTCTGTTGTCAACTTTAACCATGTCTATAACTCTCGATTGGTTAGAGCTATGGCTTTCATATTTCACAAGTGTATTCCTTGTGAAAAGACCTTTCTTTCGGTACCATCATATTTGACCTTTTGACCTTGGAGTTTGACCCACTTTTGCAAAATTTTATGAGACTTTAACCTAGACCATAACTTCTGAACAGTTGGTGCTTAGGGTTTCAAACTTCACATGTGTATTCCCTGTGACAAAACCTTCCTCTGGATATCATCCTCTTTGACCCTTTGACCTTGACATAGGAGTTTGACCTACTTTTGAAAAACTTTAACATTGGCCATAACTTTTGAATGATTGGAGCTAGGGCTTTCATACTTCACATATGTAATTCTTGTGACAAGACCTTTTTTTGATACCAACCACTTTGACCTTGACTTAGGACTTTGACCTACTTTTGAAAAACATTAACCTTGACCATAACTTTTGAATGGTTTATGCTAGGGCTTTTATTCTTCACATATGTTATCCTTGTTATAAGACCTTCCTTTGGATATCAACCACTTTGACCCTTTGACCTTGACATAGGAGTTTGACCTACTTTTGAAAAACTTTAACCTTGGCCATAACTTTTGAATGGTTGGTGCTAGGGCTTTTATTCTTCACATATGTAATCCTTGTGACGAGACCTTTTTTGGATACCAACCACTTTGACCCTTTGATCTTGACATAGGAGTTTGACCTACTTTCAAAAAACTTTAACCTTTCTCATAACTTTTGCATGGTTGGTGCTAGGGCTTTCATACTTCACATTTATAATCCCTGTGACAAGACCTTCCTTTGGCCTTGACGTTTTACTTACTTTTAAAAAACTTTAACGTTCGCTATAACTTTTGAACAGTTGCAGCTAGGTCTTTCAAATTTCACAGGTATATTCCTCGAGACAAGACCTTTCTTTGGGTACCAATATTTTTTTTATCTTTTGGCCTGGATTTTGACTTGCATTTGAGAAACTTTAACCTTCGCCATAAGCTGCCATACGGGGGCATCAGTGTTTCACAAACACATCTTGTTTAGGTCGATCTTAATTATCTTCAACTTTTTCATAGCTCTATATCTGATGGTATGACTTGATCTTGATGGAAATTATTAGTATCAACTGCGCAGGTTCAAGGTTAGAATCAAAGTAGTCTTGATGTTTTTATTTTAACAGAACCATGCATTACTGGTATTGATACATCTGTATCTGACTTGTGGTCATTTATAACCTGAGAAAGTTTTGAATCTGACCAACTATAATCTACAAGAGGGCAAGACGACCATGTCTTTAAGAATGATAAGCAAGGAATTTATTCTGACTCGCACGCAGTATTTCTGACAATTTTTGAAATTAAATCTGGAAGTTTTCTAATTTTATTAGCCTAGTCAGAAGAAAAAAAAATTATCAGAAAGAACAGCTAGAAATACATGTAATAACCAGTTTTTATTTGCCTGTAAAGAAAAAAAGAAAGGGATGGAAATAAACTTGCTCTCAGAATATGTAAATATCATGTTTCAAGGTTGTATAATTATATTCTTTGAACAATATAAAGTCAATTTTAAATTTCAATAATTTAATGCTGTAGTGAAAAATATTTTTAGCTATGATTAATAATTCCTTCATGGAGGTAAAAGAGTCCATCTTGTTTTCAATCAAAGTATGCCGTAGTTGATATGTTACTGGATAAAGAACAGAAGACGTATGATTTATGTGCTGTAACATAAACTTTATTCTGAATTGGATATTTTATTTACATTATTATCACAGACAGCGAAATTAGTACGGAAGTAATAAAACAAAGTAATTATTGTTCGGACATTGACAGCAATATTATCAAAACAAGTTTTGTAATTATTTGAAATGGCATGTCTATTGTGCCTCGATCAAATCCACCTGCTACCAGTTTGTGCAACTCCGGAATTTCCTATGGACCTGACGTAGTCAAGTGATCAAACACAATGCCAGGACCAAGCATATTATGGCGTCATAGTCGATCAGAAAACAGTTATGGAGCGCCGCTTCGACGCAGGTGTCATACGCAGAGATCCAGTTCCTGAAACATCAATATTTAAAGTTAAGATTATCAAGAAGCAATACAAGTTAATTTATAAGAACCTAGCACTGACCATATTGTTTTTATGCCCCCGGATCGAAAGATCTCGGGGGGTATATTGTTTTTGTCCTGTCTGTCTGTTTGTCTGTCTATTGTCAACTTTAAACCTAGCCCATAACTATTGCGCTGTCAAGGGTAAAGCTTTAGTATTTGACACGAGTGTTCATTATGACAAGACCTTTCCATTGGTACAGAAATTTGTGATCATGTGACCTCAACTGTGACCTTTGACCTGTACAATTATCAGAAATGTATTAAAATTTATTTCATACCGAAATTGAAAAAAAATTAAGTACCTGAGCTACACAAACCTACATTTCACATACAAGAAAAATTTTTTATTGCATGCATATATTTTGTTCTGGAAGTCTTTCTTGAGTGATATTGTTCTCGCGTTTCAAGGGTGGTCAATGGAAAAACAATTATGCTGATGATATATTAACAATGTGTAGATATTTAGCTCTAAAAACAGACGGACAACACCTAATGCATTCCCAAATACCCAGGTAATGGCCCTAGCCAATGTGAAGCATCTTGAAAAACAATCAACTCCCGATGTTCCGCGACTAGCTATTTGTAAACATGAAGGAAAAGCAGTGTTGGAGGCAGGGGCTTTTATGCCCATTGTTATGTACACAGGAAACTGAACATTCACTCCAATATTCCCCCAGATCTAGCATATTGAATTCCATGAACATATATACCTGCACTTTATCGCACCCAAAGAAATTCCGCTATATTGTTTATGGCTCGTGAGAACATATTGTTTCAAGACAATCCTCTAAAACGAGTGTGATGAGGGTTATATGGATCTAATTTCTAGCTTAGCAGTCGGCGTGATCTGATCGGTTCTATATTTAAGAGCCTGTGAAAATTAATGCAAAATGACTTAAAACTTCTAATTTTCTCTAATTTATTTGATTTGTGCTGCGTTTAATCTCTAACTTCATCTTGTTATTACTTGAAAACTGTATTTTGAATGAAATAACTTCACGGAAATGAGTAAGAAAAGTTTGATGACGTCACAGATAGCACTTTGTGAAACATTTAAATAAAACAAATGTGTGTGAGTGATGTAGAGGTATTCGCTTTGTTAGTGAAAAACAAATTGCTTATACGAAACATATTCTATAAACCATTCCAAAAATTCAGTTAATGCCATTTTATGTACTTTTGAATGACAGAAAACTATTCACACTATTTCATTCTTCTCACTTTTATCTGAATTATATAACAGAGATTTCTTAATCCCAACTTATGATGTATCCCCTACTACCCAAGCTCCGTCATCAAAAGCGGAAAACACGCCAGGTTACTTTCTGAATTATTTTTTGATTTGTTTCTTGTTTGTTACACTTAGTAATGAACTTTCAGAACTATTTTAAAAAATATACAAAACTACTATAAATAGAACGCGTATCAAATCTGTGCATATTTTCAACAGTTTTCAAAAGTAAGTCAACTCCAAGGTCAGGGTGACGTTAAAAAACATTCTGTTGTTGTTAATTCTAATTGATAAATAAAGCCTAAATCAATCCATTTGCGATATTATACGCTAGACCTATGGGTATGTAGACATTACATGTGATGTTACAAAAGTGACAGTATATCATTTAGTTTTGTTATCTAAGTTTGAATTGTTCAGAGAATAGCTAATGGGGAGGGGGTGTAAATTTTTTTCCAGGTCTGTCGATAAATATAAACTGAATTTCAATGATGACCTCCAAACAGTATGCCTACTCGTGTTTTATTTCGTCATTGATAATGTACATGTACAATTCATCGTTTCGTCATATAACATAATTGTCATTTTTTGAACAACTTTTAACAACAACAACAACAACAACAAAAACCCACAAAAAAAAAAAAAACAACTTGTATCCATGCTTTTCAGTCTTACGCTTTAAATCAATCATACAGGATTGGTCTTATATATAGAAAATATAATTTATCAATATGATAATTTACATTCTCATACTTAGTCTATGTTCTCTTAATAAAACTCTTATCCCAAAATCGAAATTCTTTTTTTGTAAGTCACAGAGCTGCTAAACGCTTTAATAGATATACTTAAGCCTGGGACTTCTTTGATTGCAAAATTTTTAAGTCGATGCCTACTTTTTATTTGGTTTAACAATCTAAAGCGGAGCCTTTTTTTTTTATAAAGGTGTGAAGCAACTGGTAAAATGGTGTCTTCCCATGGCCACTTAGCCAACATTTTGAAAAAATACAGGTAAAACACAGGTAATCTGTGTTCGCTAAGTGTTAGCTAAGTGTTGACTAATGCCCTGTTCACACGGAGAGTTTAATTCGCAGTAAATTAATTCGAAGTAAACTAATGCGAATTAAACTAATGCGAATTAGATTGCGTTCACACGAGAGCTACTGCGAAGTAAACTAATGCGAAATAATTTAATTTTGTTTGTATTCTAGCCTCTGATTGGTTAATATCCAAAAAGGAACACAAATTATTTCTGTATAACCTGGTTTGGTATGGGGACACACCCCCCTGACAACCAGCTGAATCGTCTGTATCCATGCAATCCTCTCATTTCCAGTCCTCGGGATTCATGGAAAATTCCAGATTTAATAAATGTACCTTTAACTTCAAACAGTAACTTGGATCTTACCACATGTAAACAAACAACATGGCTGCTAGGACTATGTATCAGTTTTTACCTCCCCTCGCTTCCCATCACTTCCGTTACTAGGGTTGTATTATTGAGCGGCAAATTTGAACTAATAAAAAGCAACGAAATTTTACACCCACAGTTGTTTAATGATTTTAGAATTAAATTATAAGGAATGACTCTAATTCTTGGCCAATTTATTCGAGTATAACCTGGTTTGGGTCAGTTTACGCTGTTTTATAATCCGCTTCGCGGATTATAAAGCGTAAACTGACCCAAACCAGGTTATACTCGAATAAATTGGCCAAGAATTAGAGTCATTCCTAAATTAAAATTATATTTCTACAGTAAGGCTATTCTGTAAGCCTATTATGACGTCATTTTCAAATCACGTCACATTGTGCAGAGCAGGTACATTTTACATGATGTCATAGTGTCTGTACACATTTTATTGATTAACATAATTTTCTTTGGTTTTCCACTCAAAAATAGCACAAGTTACTATATCTGACCACCGACAAGTGGTCTTTGACTTAATTCTGCCCTTACGCATGCATCAAAATTTAATTCAAATTAGCTTCGCTTAGCGTTCACACGGAGCTAATGCGAAGTAATTTAATGCGCAGTAAATTAATTCGAATTAAACTAATTCGCATTAAATTCTCCGTGTGAACGCGGTTCAAATTTAATTCGCAGTAACTTACGTTTAATTCGAATTAAACTCTCCGTGTGAACAGGGCATAAGTGTTAGCCAAGTGTTAGGTAAGTGTTGGCTAACCTAAGTGTTAGCCAAGTGTTAGCTAAGTGTTGGCTAAGTGGGAATGGGCTGCAGGTGGATAACAAAAGAAATAACTGGGGACACTTTTTATTATTTAGAAACTTCCTGTATTTCCTGAATCAGTTATTTCTTATCGTGATATCGATAAACTCGTACTTCAACACTTAAATAAAAATACCCACTTTGAATATGAATAAAATTTCGCTTAAAAAAAAAAACAAAAACAAAGTTACATTTACACCGAAATTTGTTAAATTAAACATACTGTATCTTCGATCAGTAACCACACACATTTCTAAAACTTACACATCGATTATTAACAAAATGAGAAATTGAAAATTGCATGATTTTATCCTATTGTCAGGCCTGTAGGAAGCAATTTCAGTTTCGGGGGGGGGGGGGGGCATATTTTTTCAGTTGGGGGGGGGGGGCACTATCAACTACCAAAAATTTCTTGACAAGCAAAAGGGATATAAAGGTCATCAGACATTATTATTCAAGGGACACAAACATATAGTAGCTTTGTTTTCTATAGTATTCTATATATCGGCAAAATTATTGGGGGGGGGGGGGCACGGCCCCCGTCCCCCTCCGGTTCCTATGGCCGTGTAATTTGATGAATATATCTATAGTCAAAATAATATCAATATCTCAATTATCTCTGTTAATTACACGATAATGCACAAATTTTCTTATTGTGATTACCAATCATGGCCTATAAATCTTAGCTGATCTCCTTTTAGATTAAAATCTAGCCACACTGCCGCCAAAGTTTATCATCACTTTTGTCCAAATATTCACGCCCATGGCACGAAATAGCACAAATCCCCGCCTTCCGACCCTCTTCTTACGTGTATTAGTAGCTTTTTAGTCACTCAGTGGTTTTTTTCAATTAATCAATTCTAGTGCTTCTAAAAAAAGTTTTGTGTCCTGCATACGGTGTGTATGGATTTGTTATTATAAAGATCTTTGTCTTCTTGGTTTTAATCGTATTGACTGATTTGATAATTAAGCTGACATTAATTCATTCAAATCCCTTTTATACGATGTAAATTATTTACATGACAGTTTACATATTGCTTTATTCCTAAAGGAAGATTCTAAATTAATTGTAGTATTTTTTCAATAGAATATCAATAGAAATGATTGAAAGCCAATAACATTAATTTAATCCATGCTTAGTTTGAATCAGTCACGAGAAAACAAGGGTAGAGGCTAAGAGCATCCCACGAACATACAAAATTCGTTCAATAGATGATTATCTGGTGTTACCGGTAAAGAATGTCTCTTTTGCGTGTTCTTTAGGGCTGTCAAAGATCCAATCATTTTAAAAGACGCCACATCAAGAAATTGGACAAAAGTAAAAATTGTCATCTTGTTTGTCTTTTTCATTATCACCTCAAATGCTTCGGGTTTGAAATTGGACGAAATAATTTGCAAGAAATTGGTGAGACTTTGGAGAAACTCTGCTTTCGTACTCACTAATTTCACTTGATGGTCTATGTTACTTCTCGCAATTCAATAAAAAGCCTGCTTTAACAGTTTTAATTAAGTTAGTCCCCCAAATTATTCCCTTTAAACACGATTTTCATGGTTTTAATTGAAAAAACAAAATGTGAATTGGAAATACAGATTTTTTTTTTTTTTTTTTTTTTTTTTTTTTTTTTTTTATAATTTAAGGATCTTTTGGCATGAACAAAAGAAGTTTTAAATAAAAAATACTTTTTACAATTCTCAAGTTTGTTAAATATATATATATATATATATATATATATATATATATATATATATATATATATATATATATATATATATATATATATATATATATATATATATATAATAATTTGAAACTTAACCTGAATTTAAATCTAATTTCGAATTTTCTAAAGAAGTTGAAACAAATATCGGCAAAGTGAATTTTAGGGAAAATAAGATATAGGTGTTCTTTTTCTTTCATCTTTTTCAACATGCTTTGCAGCAAAAAGTGAACTGTATAATTGTATCATTTCATACTTCCATAAAATCATGCTCGTGAAACTGAGAAAAGAATAAAATTTTCCAAAATATTTATCAAAAAGAGAAATGGAAAAAGGAAAAATATAAAGAAAAATAAAACACTTTTACTCTTTCCTGTGGTAGCGAAATCTACAATGAGTTTATTGATAAAAAATACAGGACAAAAAAAAAAAAGATCCTTGTTTGTTTTTATCGTCCAAGCCTACCGTCAACTGCCTCGAATCTCAAAATAAACATGGTAAAATTGACGTTCTCTCTTTTCTTTGCCCAGAGTCAAAAGAAAGACAAGACCACTTAAAAAGTTTAGGAGAAGAAGTCTTATCTATTGCAGAAAATGTAAACAATTTATTCATACAGAAATGAAAATGGTTAGGTGTCATGGATAGGTAAATGTGTATATAAACTTTCAATTACTTAACTACAAAGGCGTCAAGGATGAAAGAAAATGTAAACTCAGATCAAATATCTGCGGGTATACTACTGAATCCATTTTAATTTAATCGGAAAAAATTAAAATAAAAAAAATATTCGACTGGATACAAATTCCCATCCGAAGTTGACCTACCTACAGCAATTTATCATTGTATTCCAAATAGTTAGAAAGCATCTTTTTAGAAAGATGAATAATTTTAGGATGATGGTAACATTATATCTGATCTAACTGCCATTTATTCTATAAAAAATAGGGATAAAAACAGTTGTACATAACTCTTACCTGAGCGATTAAGTCTGTGCATTGGTGGGGTTGAAACCTCCAAACTACTACAACGTCGACCAGGAATCTCATTGATGTTCGACAACTTCCGTTTTTGCCCAGGTGATCCGGAACTGGAGGGTGACGTGTTTCCGGGTGGAATTTCGTCCGTAAATATTACGCTTATACCGGTCTGCTCTTTCACACTTGGTGGGGACTCTAAATTATAATGCATGCGTACAAAGAACTTTAAAGACACAAACTAAAATGACCGAAAAAAGAAAAAGAATAGTAAGTATCGTGAAGTAAGCGAGCAATAAAATTTAAGAAAAGACATATCTTAAAATTATAAAGCAAAAGACAGTTTAGATTTTTACATGCAGTCACAAAATTGTAAAGACGGTTCAAAAGATCCCAATACATGATCAAACAGTATCAAAGTACAGCAATAAAACATTCAACTCTTCATCTTGTGAGGAGAGACCGGAAAAGGATGGAAGAGTAAATTAAGTTACCCGTACTATTGCAGCTGCCCAGGGCACTGTCGTTACTATTCCGTCTAAACTCTTTACTGGAATCACCACCCGAGGACCCACTCCGCTCCGCAGGAGTCAAGGTACCAAAAGAACTCTCTTTCAGAACATTAGCAGCCCCGACTAAAACGTTCTTATTTTTCTTCGGCAGTTTCATTTTGGCTTGTGCATGGGAATAATACAGTGTAAAATTGCTTACGATAATCGGAACCGGAAGAGATAGCATTAGCAGACCGCATACTGCGCATGCACAACCAATTATATAGCCTGTCATTGTTTTTGGCACTATATCGCCATAACCCAGCGTTGTCATTGTTTCAACCGCCCAGTAAAAACTAATTGGAATGTCAGAGAAGCTGTTTAAGCTGTCTTCTTGAATTTGTTCAGCAAAGTAAATCAGCACACCGAATATTAAAACTCCAATTATGAGAACCAGGAACAACAAAAGCAGCTCTTTGGCACTAGCTCGAATTGTGTGTCCAAGAATTTTCAGACCGCTGAAATAGCGTGTCAATTTAAGAATACGGAAAATTCGAACGAAACGCAAAGCATTTATAAACAATCCCGTATTAGTCATTATAAAATCCGGTGAAATGCAATTCGCAATAATGAGCGTGTAGAAAGGAATAACGGAAAACAATTCGATTCCGTTATAAAAGTCTTTGATGAACTTTGATTTGTTTGGACAAGAAATGAATCGGACGGTCACTTCAAAGGTGAAAAACACCATACACATGTACTCCAGAACAACGAATACGATGTGGGGACGGGAATTCCGGACCTGTTCTACAATGGTTCTGGATTTTACGGAAGCGTTACCGGAAATGTCGTAGCGGAACTTGGTGTGGGTTTCCAGACAGAATGATGCGATGGACAGTATAATGAAAAATACGGAAACAATGGCAAATATCTGAAACAAGAGAAAGTAGAATAAAAAGGGAGAAACATTGGCAATGAAACTTGACATCAGAACGGAAACAACGTATATCTTTAGCGTCATACTGCACGATATAAAAGAAGTACAATGACGGATTTCTGGAACAAGATTACATAGGTTTTTATGCATTGGTTAACAACTATTAGTACATATGTTAAACATTTGCTAAGATTCTTAATGCGCTTAGGAACTCGAACTTTTCACCCCATAAACAACACAATCTTATGCATTAAATTTGTATTCACATTGATCATAAAAAAACAATCTGACATCAACTATATGCATTCCATAATGAATTAACGAGGTAGATCAGAAATGCATGTGCTTTAACTGTGAGTTATATATATAATGTATGACAAGGTTATCCACCTACCGATGATGAAAGAAATAAACAGACTGGGCGTTATATTAAGAAACATTACCAAACCCCAAACTCTCTGTGAGGAATAATTATACGTATATCGATGGAGAAAATTTTATGTGCTAATGATCACATATATTTCGCTAAATACAATGCCTAATAAATATCTAGCAAAGTGGTAGATAAGTAAAATTTTTATCATAAACTTGGATACATGTAATGCATGCACGTTTTGCTAATAATTTTCTATCATTATACAATGTCATGAGTTTCTTTCTATGTATTTTATTTCTCTCTTTGGTCCAACGATTTCAGAATGCATGTTTACTAAAGCAAGGGAAATTCTACTTCTTTTTCTTTTAGCTTAGAAACCTTTTTTTGTAGATATGAAGACATTAAACGTAACCACCAAACATTCATCATAGTTAAAATGCGCTGGTCACACACAATATTATATATAAAGCATACTGTAGCATCTCAATGGAATGCTTTCCAATTCCACACAGTACTCTGGAGACAAATTATAAACGGTATAAACTGTGTGCAGAGGAACTTTGGAACCTTTTATTTATCGAAATATTTTTTTTATCTAGGCTTACTGTAGGTATTGTGAAAATTTTGAATACCTAAAATGTACTTACACGTGATAAACTGTTGGCTCTAGGTTCGTCTACAATATTCCAGATCCGAATTTTCCATCTTTCCCAAACGGACTTCTTTACCTCAACGAAGTCCTCGGAAATTCCAAATCTTTCTCTCATCGCAGACTCTTCCTCATCATCACTCTCCGTCCCGGGGTCATGACCTTCAAATTCTGCTAGGGTCTGTTGGGCGTCCCTGTGGGCTCGGTATGTATTCCAACAACAAGGTTCTATTTGGTTCTCATCCAGACCCCAGTAAGCTAGCTCTTCCTCGAACGCCGGACCACACACGTCCATTGGAATGTGGAGTTTCCCTGTCCGGTAGTAGTTCAGTATCATATGAAACATTCCGGAATGTCTGTCGAAGAAGAACTCTCCCGTAATTGGATCGTATTCCGGTGTGTTTCCGGTAGAGTCCGATAGCCATGATAGTCGGGTATCTGGAATGCTTTTCAAGGTGGTTTTGTAGGTTTCGAACCTGACACCTCCTACATTGAGCACAATTTTGTTTTCATTCCTCCTTGTTTGTGGAATCGGTATAATTGAAGTTTTTGGTGCAAAGATCGAACGTCGAAAGCTTTCCATTAAAAACTAAATCTAAAGTTAAGAATCATCTGATATTAAGAAGTCAGAGAAATGGAACAAGACTCGCACTCTATCATCGGTAATAGATGTTGCATGATTTGATAGATGGATAGCGATGTACCAATGACGTCTCAGCTTAGTTCTTCGAAAGCAGATGCCCGATACATATTAACACGAATACTGTCAATAGACGTCTCTTTGGATATACTTATATACCAATCGCAGATGCAAGCACCGGCAAAACAATCCCACCAACCACAAATACTTTTAGACAGTTCGCACTGAAGATGGAAGTTGTTGAAAAAACACTGCAAGTATATATTACAACGATTAAAACGTTGGCATATCATATAAACAGTTTATACTGTGTAAATACGATGCAGGCTCTATACAAGTAAAATTTCTCGATATAATCAGAATCGTAGAGAGCTTTCGTTTAAATCCTCTTACATCTGTGCTAAGCAGGGGGATCGACTGAAAATAAAAATAGAAAAACATACGGCAGTTTATAAGAACTCCATGAAATCGTTTATGTTTACAAACTTTGTGAGTTTAGCGAGTTCGATATTCTTCTTGTGTAATTAATATATTTATATGTATACAAGCGGGAGTAAAATGTCTATCTTCTGTAAAGCTCCGAGTAGATTTGTTTTCTGGCGACAAACACAGAATCCTAAGCGATATAGATCAATTAACGGAAACTGATCAGGTTTAATTATACAATATGCACCTGCGATTTGTGTAAATATTAAGTAACGGAATCCTGGAAGCTTGAGGATCTTATTAATAATTAAGTCTGATTAATGATGAATCTTATCTTCTATGAAGACTTGTTTTATCTTTGATTTTCCAATTAGGATCGACAGAGTGACGTGATCTGTTGGTCTTTTGTGAACAAAGCCGCTGTCAATTGTCCGTTTATGTTTAATCAGAAGGAAAGATGTTCAAATAATCTTCTCTGTTCACTGTAAAGCGCGGACTTTTCTTGTGACCACGTGGGAAAACGATCATCCGGTTAGAGGAAAATTGAGGAACAAGGTATGAGACGCTGGAACTGATAGGGTGCAAACAAATTACCCTTCTGACATGCGTAGCAGTAATTTTACTGAGAGCTTTCAAGCCATGTCAAGGTTTTGTTTCCCCTAAAAACCAGTAAATTCAGAATCGTTAGCGGAAGGAAATCACAATATGATCTGTCTACACATTATTTGGACAAGATAAGCTCATGTTGAGCTGATAAAAAGAATCTTTGAAATTGCATGCTTAAGATTTTATTGAAATTGAAATGCGCATTTCCCCGAAAAAATAAAAATTAAACGTTTCAGAAATTTTAAATTCCCTTCCGACTTCTGTATATTATAATTGATTACAATGGACACCACACATTTGATAGAAAAAGTGTCTTTTTTTGACTTTCACATTTCTACTTGTACATGTATAAGTAAAGCGCTGTTCGTAAATGTAAAAAAAAGACTCCCAAATAGGTAAATCTTTTCTTGCATTCATGAAGTCATGCAGAAACATGTTCATTTCTGGTTGAACTGTAGTCGTGCCCCGTGAATATTCATTCATTTAAATGAAACTTGATTCTACAGCCAAATTGATTTTATTATTCTTACGAGACAATCGAATTTATTCTGTTCTTATGTTCTGTCAATTATTATTGTGAGTATAATTAACACTTACAAATGCAGATTCGTTACAGAAAATTCATTGATTTTGAGAGCATTTCTTTTGGGGTTTAAAATTATAAATTCTCTGATTTATCTATAAAGTACACTTTCAAAATCTTCTGTTAACATTTACGTGAAACTGACATAATTTTTTTTAGTCTGTAAAATTCACATCAAAAATGTTACAGGGGAGATAAGGACAATAATAGATAACCGATATCTGAGATTCTCTAGATTGCGTAATTCTACTCATCAGCCTTTAAAGTTTACAAATACACGATTAAGATTCACACATTTTTACAGGGCGTTGATACTGCTAGCTAATATTGCCCTCAAATAAACCTCAGTTCTTAGACAGACCCTCAGTTCTTTGATGGGACGACCGAATCTCTCAAAAACGTCATAGGTCTTTGATGACGTTTCTCTTCAAGGTCTTAAGGTCGTGGTGTCGATATGATAGCGCAAGTGTAAGCAGTGAATTATTAAAAAGCACCGTCTTAAAGATTTAAAATCTACTGAATCTTCAGATAACGAAGGCCAATTGTGCGAGCACGCCATTCCCATAAACTGTCAAATCTGTTGCTCACAATCAGGATACTGAGGTAGATTGTCTTGTTTCCGTAATCTTTTATTCTGATTGATAACGAGTAAAGTACACACAGTAAGATAATCCATTTCTTTGATCCAGCCCTCACCAGCAGCAGACAATTCTCTCACTCACAAGAAAGGGTGAGGACGTTGAAGGTCTGGGATCAAATTCTGGACTATTTTTTAATGCAAAACAAAGATAAATTTGACCTCAATCAACATAATAGTCAGAAGCAACTGAAAATGATTGCTTCTTAATTAAATTCTTGAAAATGTTCTGGGCGAACGACTCCTATCGTATGGAGAAAATAAAGCATATCTTACAAGAATTTCTATTAATACTAAAATTAGAAAACTTTTTGAAAACTAGAAAATACACTGTAGGAGGAAAATATGTCAGACAATCTAAAACACAATCTTATCAAAACAAAATAGATTTTTAATGATAAAGATACAAGATATTGTTCTAAAACTTAAGACAAATTTTGTATGGAATGTGAGTTTATAGAACGATCTGTTGGCTAGTGCATAAGACAATACAGGGAAAAAATGTTAAAACTGGCCATCAATTTCGCCGGATTAGATAAAATGCAGGTTAGAAACAAAAAAGTTTCGGACAAAAATATTTGCCGAAGTTCAAGACACCTGGATTGAGCATGTTACTTTATGTGTACAATTAGATATAAAGGGAAATCAGAATATGTAAACTTTGTTCAAAATCTAAAGCTTTGATCATCTTGGTAGGCTATAAATTTTATATGTGGCAAAATGAAGGGATATCCCAAGGGACAAACAGATATAATTTCAAAAACATTCCAGAAGCCCGACCGTTACCTTAAGGTTCACTAAAAATTATTCACTTTTACATCTTCTAATGAATATATCTTTGTAAATAAAGAAGTTTAAAAGCACATTTGGCAGAGATTTTAACCATTGATTTAAAAATTGGCACCAGATAATATTCTTTGATGATCTTAACTTGTGTTTTAGTGAACATTTGGACACCTAAAATATCTCTCTCAAAGTCATGATTTTAAAACATATAATCTTGTATCTTTATATTTGAAGAAAACCACACACTTATATGTCAAATGATTTATTTCATATAAAATAAAAAAAAGAATTGAAGTTAGAATAGGATAACTATTTTATCGTACTCATTACGTATAAAAGTAAAAAAAAAAACCAAGTCAGAGAAAAAACACTACACATGCATATCAACTTTTTAAGCTAAAACTTCATCAAATGTTTTCGCAGAATTATTCCTAAAGACCAATACACTGTACATGCACTCAGAGATGAGACTTCTCATGCGGTTAATTTCTATTTTTTTTCAAAACTGAAATTTTTCTAAGAAATACTTTTATTCGATAAAGATATCAAGTGGTTCAAAAACATAAAATCCTTTGTTTCTTCTTCTTTTATGGCTCCTTGAAATTATTTCCTTTGAATTTGAATTAACAACAGACTATTTATCATATTGTAGTGGTATTTCGTACAAAGCTGGCCCAGCCAGGAAGTTTTCTGATGTCGGCAAAAGCAGAAACCTGTCCCGTTACCGGACACCGCTCTACACCCTCGGCCACAGCCATATATCTGTCCCGCTCCTTTATTTCATGACCGTACTTATTTTTCAGCTCTGATAAAATATCCTACAAATACAAGGTAAATGAATATTGATGTAGCATTGAAATTTTTTTGCGATATTAAATTTTATCGAAGAAAGCTCAAAGAAAACTAAAGTTGTCATCTGTTAAAAAATGTTATTTTCGATTTATTAATGTTGACCTTTTGACCTCAAAATCAAAAGGCTTCTTCATTGGGCCATTTGGAGATGTGATATAAAATTTCATTCAAAAGCTCAAAGACTTTTAAAGATATTGCCCAGAAACGAAAGTCCTATACACAAACAGAATTGCTAAATTTATGACCTTGACCTTTGACCTCAAAATCAATAGGGGTCTTCTTTAGGCCATAGGGATATCATTGAGATATCATCCGGAAACGAAATTGTTACACGAGGACGGATTGTATTAATTTATGCCCTTGACCTTTGACCTCAGATCAATAGGGGTCTTTTTTTAGGCAATAAAGAGTTGTGATATAAAATGTCATTGCAAAAGCTCAAAGGTTTCTTGAGATATCATCCGGAAACGAAATTGTTACACACAGAAAGAATTATGAATTTATGACCTTGACCTTAAGATCAATAGGGATCTTCTTTAGGCCATAGGGAGTTGTGATATAGAATTTGATTGCAAAAGGTTCTTGAGAAATCGTCCGGAAACGAAAGTTTAACACACAAACACACAGAAATACAGACAGAAAGACGGACGGACGGACGGACAGATATACCCAAATTAATATCTCCACTTTCAGTGAAAGCGGGGGACAAAAACCAAAGAATACTCTTACTTTTAAGAGCTACTTTAGATGTTTATGTAGGATTGCAGTATAATTAATTTGTTTTCAACTTATAAAATTTTGAATTCCAATTTGACAAATGCGAACGAACTCCCGTTCCTTCAGAAGTGTGATTTATAGTAATATTTCATCACTTCAACTTAAGTTAAACCAGTTTTATCTACGAGACTTTCGCTGAATAAAAATGTCTTTACACTGCATTTATTGGGGTCAAACACTGTTATAGAATGGAATATGAAAATGAATAATTGGTTCCTTCTCTTACAAATACATTTATAAATGAATTCCTTCTCTTTGGAGCACCGTCAGACAACATATGCCAGATACATCTGAGCTGTTATAACTAGGAGCGCGATAAGAACAGATACACTGGTCTTATTAATTCTTAGTTCTTCTACCTGCCGGCTCCAATTTGTCAGGGTTCTGTTATTGGTTGTTACTACGATGTAAAACATTTTATCCTAGTTACAAAAAAAAACTCTGCTTCTTTGCAAGAAACACGAATAGCCTACGTATTTATGACATCTGATGACACGTCTTGCCGGAATCCGGATTCCAAACAACAGGGATTCATTACGTTTTAATTTTCTGATGTCATATTTATTCATTGTTGCTGGTTTTTTCAGTTCTGCCAAGTTATAGACTTCAGAGGAATCGCTCTTACCGAACTTGCAGCAGATGTTTTGATAGATCATTGCTTTTCTATGAATTAATTCTTAACACACACCTGTGGAAAACCAAACTCGTACTTAAGGACATCGGGCGAAAAGTGATGGTGGAACCGCTTCTTTCGAATTGCCTCTTCAATTGTTTCTCCAAATAGTAAAACTCTTGCAGATATCTATAAGTGAATGTTTTAAACAATTGTTAAATTGCTTTAAAACGTCGAAAAATGTTCAAAAATGTAATATGGTTCTGAAAGGAAAAAACAAACACATTTAACTAAACAGATTTTGATTTTACACATGGTCAGATTTCAAAGAAAACACTTGCCAGGCGATATCATTTCCCTATCTAACAAAGATAATAGGTGGTATAAATCTGGTGTGGTTTGATACCGTACTTAAATTTTCAAAGGGGGGATTTATATAGTGTTGTCTAAAAGAATTAATCATTTGATAATCGATGTATTATGCGTCGACATCCATGCTGGTTGTGTATTAGTATCTATATAATTATACGTCTGGTTTTATGTCCATGAGAGTTTTTCTGAACTTTAAGAAAAGATATAATTAACATGCTCATTTGTTTTCTGAATTTTTTTCCTCATAATTATGCTGAAGAATATGGTATGTAACTGCTCGTAATTCGAAAAAAAAAAACACTTGGCACAAGTGCACGTTTTCTTCTTCTTAGCCAGTTATTTTCAAATTTCTTGGGAATAAGGAATATAATAAAAGTAAAATGGAGGCGACTTCGACAGCTGTAGCCATGCATAGAAACAAAATTATGTATGGGCATAAGAATAACACTACAGAAAAAACACTCAACGTAGATTTGGTCTTGTAGAGTAGGCTTTCGCCCTCTAAAATCTCCCCCCCCCCCAAAAAAAAAAAAAAAACTGGCTATAGAGTTGGATTTCCCCCCGGAATACAGGCTCTAGAGTACGATTTCCCCCACTGAAAAATGAACCCAGAGCAGGATTTCTCCAACTGAAATCATTTCCGGGGAGATATCCTACTCTGTGAAATAGTTATATAGTGCGATTTCCCCCAGAGCCAAATTTCCCCACCATTAAATATCATGATGTACTTTTATATGAGGGCGACACATTGTTACAAATGTCCCTTCCATAATTTTATAACAGGTGCTTTCGCGGTAGGCAATCTGAATAACACAACCTTACAAAAATTATAATCAAATAGTACAGTTGTACTACGTGCATTTCATATTTTAAATTTGCAAAATGGCGACCAGTTCCATTGAAACATACAAAGTATTAAAATTGAGAATTTTTAGTTCCATGGCAACAGCAGCTATTTTGGATATGGGTCATTTTCTAAAATTTGGACATTTTGCATAATTTTGGAAGAGTATTTGCTCTCTGCTCTCATAATCCAATATTACACCGCTAGGATAGAGGGGACATACTTATGCCACGGCTTGCAAAATCAATGTTTCTTGTATTCTTTTGTTTTTGGTTTTGGCTTTTCTTCTTTTTCTCTTTGAAGAACTACTCCATTCAAATACTCGCAAAATGGTCTGCTGAACCTATCAATAATAAAACTTTAAAATTTTCTCACACACTCTTTGTAAAAAGTATACCGATCAATAGATAAAATACTGGGCCGGTACACTGCAGAACAAACAAATTAAATCTAAGGATTTTCCGTTTTTCCCCCATCATGACAAGGAGCACACGGCGGGTGTGACAGGTCGGCAGGGGATGCCCACTCCTCCACGGCAGCTGATCCCACCAATTATGTTTTTTTGAGGTCCGTGTTTGCTCTGCTCACGATTTGTATTGTTTTAATGCACTTTGAGCTTGAATACTGTTCGTCATCTCCATATTTCTCTATGGGTAGCTTAATATACAATTAAAAATTCGTGAACAAACAGGTACTGCTAAACCAACAAAGGTGTTGGGACATCGAGTCTTAGGATTTTTGAATGACTAATTTTACAAATTCCTACGAGTTAAAATTTTTGGTTGAGACTCAGTGATTAGAACCATATACTTTAAGTTTTCATACTAAATTTGAAAAACTCTTTGAGTCGAAAACATTCTTATTTCCATTAAGAAAATCAGTTTACTTTCTCGGGGGAAGTCCTACTCCAGAGTACATATTTTGGGGAAAGCTGGTTATGGGGGAAATCTTACTCTACAACACCGGTAACGCGCTAAAAATGATGAGGGGGTGTTTTCAGAGTATGGGGGAGTAGATATTTGCCACTTTGGAGGCAGGAAAAAGGTAGGTCACGAATTTTTCTTGTATTTAGTAAAAGTGCTTACAAATATATATATATATATTATATATCTCACAGAAGACAGCGATAGTTACACTTTTTCTTAGTCATTGTCTCGGCCACCATTTACTTCCAGTGTTCTTATACACTTCGAAGCTATTGAACAGATTCCAAATTCAAGTTGGTCGACAATTCAGTGTGTAAATAATGGCCTAATAATTAGTAAAAGAAAAGTCAGTCACCATTTGACTTAATGAAAGCTTGTATTTGTATTTGCTGACAAGGTCATTGTATCGACCATAGAACTTACAAAATGATGACTTTAAACGAGAGTGCTGATATTCTTGTTCCATCAACTTGTTTGTCAATAACGTTTTAGAAATTGTTCATACATAGCGCATGCTCTGGCGTATCGAATCAACTGAGAGATATAAACCCCGTATGCAGGTAATAAGGGTATATTGCTGCGTAAGTAAGGGAAGTTGATAGAAAAGTTAAAGTCATCACGTTTATCATAAAGCTTTGTTGTAAGATTACCATTAACGTCTTTTTCTAATAAAATATCAAATATGAAACAGATGTGTCAGACTCTGTGGTATCTTTTATCTCAAGCTCACCGGGATATATCGTGTCGACATAAGAATGGAAATAACCATTGTTAATTGACAATACGTCGTCGATATATCTAAATGTCGAGTTGAGGGTCACAGCAAGTGTTTTCTTCTTTTCATGTAAAAGATTTTGAACAAATTCTGCATCATATGAATACATAAATATGTCTGTTAATAACGAGACGCAATTGGTACCCATGGGAATTCCAATAGATTGTTGGAAGACCTGGTCTCCAAAAACCACATAGATATTGTCAATCAGAAACTCAAACATCTTTTTAATGTCAACTTCAGAGTACTTGTGTGTACAATCAGATTGTTTTTAACTAAGTATCTTTGCAAATGACTAATGACAAGGTAAGTAAATTTACGAGTTCCATTTTTGGGAGTTGAACTATGTTCAATCTCCCTTGGTCATCACGGGCTTTCTAAGCGCAGTAATTTGTATTGATTATATAGTGGCCGTCCGTGGGGCTTCTGTGTCGACCAATTTACTCCTGTGATATTCAAAGTAAACTTGCATAAACGTCCGCCATAAAATAGTCTATTTCAATTTTCTGAATTTATCTAATTTTGATAAATGATATGAAACTAATTGCAATTGAATTTCATTTAACTTAATTTGAATACTATATTTTGATTAAATTAAAATTGATTTATACAGAACTAAAAAAAATGTTGAAAATTGTCGTCGCGAACCAGCGGCACCTATAAACAATGAGAGGGAAATTAACGACAACTATAGACTGCGCGAAACCTCTTTGCATTGACTGACGCATGGTAAAAATTATTTCACAATCAATGTTATACCTTTTTTTTAGCCATAAATATTCGAAGTTTTCAACAATATTTATTTGGTAATACAATAAACATCAAAAGAATAAACAAATTACATTGATTTGGATATAAATGAACAATTGTTCGTTTAATATTGAATCCTAATACGTTTAACATCGAAGAGGAAGAAAATTGAAGAGAAGGTGATTAACGTACACAGAAAGGTGAAACTTTAAGATAAATTACTAGATTAAGCTTTTTGAAGATGTTTTCATGTGGCATAAAATTTATAAGCATTTCACATATGAAATTCTTGATAAAATAAGTCGGAACAGCCAGGTCTGACATTCGAACTACATGTACGTATGTAAATTTTAAGTGGGAAAAACAACAAATTATAACCGTTTACGTTAGATCATATAACAAGCTGAAACTTTTTTTTATTGTTATTTTTCAAACTTCCAAACAATTAATAGTCATGTGATGAAGGAAATAAACCATGGCAAAATCTTGCAAATATTTCACCTATGCTTCTAAGTATATTAGGACATATACAAATGTAAAGTCTATACAACTGTAAATGAATTTACTGTGCAGTGATTTTCGGAGCAGAGTTATCAAAATTTTTGAATCACTGTCAGACATTTGGTCTGACAAAGTCAAATGATCTGTTAGACTGGACAAAGTTTTGTCAGACCAGATACATGCATCTTATTTTGTACGCTGAATCGCTGATAAAGGGAAAAATAATAGCACTAAAATAAGATGCCTTTTAAGTTTTATGATATTCGATTTCACAAAAAATCCTATCTTACGATACAGAGTCTCTAATCAGAGACATGCTTTAACAATTTTGATCGACAATCGTCACCATACGGACGATTTCGGTGTTTTGTGGTCCTTACCTAGGCACAGCGTTTTAGAAATTTGCATCACGTTCAATGTTTTAAACGGTCGTTTGGACCACTGTTTTCTTGTACGTTATCGGTCCAGAAAATTCCTTGCCGACAAGACTGAGGTTTTTTTTTTTTTGATAACTCTGCAGATAAGAATTACTTACAAAGAAAGAAGTAAATGTGTGACAATTTCAGATGACATTAATTTTTAATCCTTAATTTCATGAATTTATCAGCATTTAGTGGGTCACGTGTACAACACTACTACTGAACTTGAAAAATGTGTGTTACATTAATTAATGCATTTCAACATGTCTGCATATAAAAGTGTATTGCAGTAATACGTTATCATTAAAAGATGTTTCATTTGATTTTATTAATAAAAACAATTAAAATGAATGAATGCATGCGTGTGCGGACACAATGCGGTCATAACTACAACAGTTTTATTTCTTGCAGTAGCTCGTTAAACTACATCTGATTTTAAAAAAAAAATCAAAACAGATTCAAGTCGATCGTTTTAATTCATTGAAAGTTTGAAAAACTTGTCCAGCTCAGCTACATGTGTATACAATGTAGTATACCTGAAATTCAATCTCGCGTTGCACAGTTGTTCAAAATCGTTTGCTCTAGAGATTCAAAGTAAGGTG